TTTATAATAGTCCAGACCTCCTGAGCTCTTTAACAGTCCATCAGGAGGCGCTGTTGTGTCTCATCTTCATCTATCTATAAAGCAAGGAATCTCTGTCTGTCTGTGTGTGTGTGTGGTTCAAATATCTCTGCAGATCAGGATCAGACTGACCTGAGAGTTTCAACATGGCTGCTGTGTGGTTTAAGGGTGTGCAACGTCGGCTTTGTTTGGACTACAAAGACACAGTTAATAAATTATTTCACAAATTATTTAGAATTCCGCTAACATTACCATAGCCACCATAGCCACGTGCACACCAGAGCCAATCACTGCAGAGCCCTAATGTGTAGTGATTGAGATCCTGACCCACCAAACATCCTGGAAAGTGACGAAGTTACGTTTTTCACTCTAAATTACATAATTAGATGTCACGGGGGGAAGTTTGATTTTATTTAAGCAGCTTTTACTCTGAATTTGCTGTGTTTTTGTCTTTATTATTGCATGCTTTTATTTTGAAGTGTGGTGTGTGTGTTTGTGTTTCGTTGGTTTTACTTCCCCAACGGAGACATGCCTTAATCAAGAGTAAGGACTTACACCTGGGACCCCGAGAGGGGAGTGACTGTTCTTGGATAAAAAGGACACTATCGAAGACACCCGGGGCACGAGGGAGGACACGGAGGGAACGAGGGAGGACATGGAGGGCACAACGGGCCGGACAGCAGGAAGCAGACAGAGACAGAGCGGATCATCGGCCTGGAAGAGGTCTGAAGAGACACCGGAGCAAACACCGACCGTTAGCGGCTATAATTGGGAGAAGGTAAAACTTCTCCCTCCCGCGTAAGTCCCGTTTTAGACCGGTGTTTGTGTAGTGTGTAATATATAAAGTTGTGCCTTGTTAAAGGACATTGACTGGCCCTGGGTTTCCCTCGACAGGCTGCCTAAGAGCGGAGCCAGGTGAAGAGCAGGTGGTCGCCACCAGAGACCCGCGACTGCCGTTGTTGACCTCCCACTCCATCCGTCCCGCATTATTTTAGCTGGGTTTTAGTTGTTTGTGTTCTTTGTTTTTAGTTTCTTTGAAGGTAGAGCTTTTAGTTGTTTTTACTTATCTTAAAATAAATTGTGTTCAACTGTGTTCTACTGGCTGTACTCATTGTTTTAAAAATAACACTGTTTACTGCTCTCCCCCGACATGAAAGAACCTGTTTACCCTAACTTTAATTTGGTGTTTCTAAGAGGTCCTAGGCCTCAGCTAAAAACCTAGGTGGCGTTGTCGGCACCTGTGTTAATTTATCCACCCTTAGCACGGCTCACATTTTGGCGTTGTCGGCAGGATCGGGTACAGAGAGCAGTGTGGTGTATTTTAAAACAGTGAATATGATGATGCCTGTATATCCTGGTGCCCCTTGGCTGCCAAAGTTTAAAGGACCAAATGGTGACCTGAAATATCATGACTGGAAGAAGCAAATACAGGGCTTACTAGGAGCGCAAGAGCTAGCAGAGGCCAGAAAAATTGACATTGTGTTGGGTGCGTTAGCTGGGGAAGCCAAACGGCAGGTCAGCGTTTTAGAGGATGACGAAAGGGATAGAGTATGCAAAATCTTTCTGTATTTGGACTCTCTATATGGAGACAGAACCCCCGCCCCAGTGTTAAGGTCTCAGTTTTTTAGTTGTGTCCAAAGACCAGATGAGACTGTGCCCTCATTCATTCTAAGACTAAGAGAGCTGTATTGCAGGTTGCGGCAACATGACCCTGATGGAACTCCCCCTGACACAGTCCTGCGAGACCAGCTGCTGTTGGGGCTGCGTGAAAGTTCCCTGGCTCAGGCCCTGAAGGTCTATGCCCGCCGTAACCCTGATGAAACTTTTTCTGCAATCAGACAGGAGGCGCTGTTGCTTGATACAGAACATGGGAACCCCCAACCGGAGGTAATCTGTGCTTCTGTGTATAAACCAAATGTGCCTCCTCCATCACAGGACACCAGCTGGAGAGAGATCATGGAAGACGTGAAATCTCAGATGACCGGATTCACCCAGGAACTGTTGCGAGAGATTAAACCGCTCCTTCAACCAGCTGTTATTGCACCACAGCCCCTAATACAGCCCTATAGGGAGCGACAACGACCAGTTTCCCAGACAAACACCTGGGATGAGCAAGGTAGGCCCATTTGCCGCCAATGCAGACAAGCCGGCCACATAGCTAGATTTTGTAGGAGGCCAACTACTGCTCGGCAGGCTTTAAGCTAGCTTTCCCTGCTGCTGAGGCCCGAGGGGCAGGGGTTGAAAGTACAACAAAAGGAAACCTGGCCCACTGAGGCATTTATTGGCAGGTGTCCAACTATAGAAGTAAACATTGAAGGAGTTACACTGTCGGGGCTATTAGACACGGGGACCCAGGTCACCTTAATGCAGCAAAGCCTCTTTGAGCAGCATTTTACCCAAGCTAAGCTTGGAAAGGCTCCTATAATTTTTAAGTTACAGGCCGCAAATGGCCTGGAGATCCCTTATACGAGCTATGCCGTATTAGATCTGGAGCTAGAGGGTGCTAAGATACCTGGAAGAGGAATCGTGATTGTGAAGGATGAACACTGTACACACCCACTCATCATTGGAATGAATGTTGTTACTGCTTGTTGGACTGTTTTTTTTTTTTTTAAATGTCCCAGAGGGTCTGTTCCCCCCCCGCAGACGTTACAGAGACAGCGGGTCTGGAGGGATGCATTTGCTACATGCCGACACATTGAGGCTACCATGACAGAGGACGGGATGTTGGGGTACGTGCGGCCAGCCAGCCGACGGGTCATCAAAATTCCCCCAAAGAGTGAGGTACTGGTGTGGGGTCGGGCTCGGATGAGCCTGGGGGGAAAAGATTACTGTGCCCTAATTGAAGCGCTGCCTGAGACCTGCAGTGTGAGGGTAGCCAGGACCCTAGCAGTGATAAGAAATGGCAGAGTCCCTGTGAGAGTTTTTAACCCACACCCCTACTGTTTGATGCTAGATCAGTACCAGAAGCTTGGCAAACTGTCCCGGGTGGATGAAGCGGATGTACATGGAGCCTGCGACCTTAACCTGTCCCTTGAAGGTGACTGCGTTGTTGGAGTGACACTGGTAAATGCTGCAGTTGACGAGGAGGACCAGAAGCTGCCGATAGGGGTGAGTGAACTCTCCAACAGGCCTGATCTGTCTGAGCAGCAACAGGAGGAGCTGCGCGCCCTGCTGCTGAAATGGCAGAAGGTGTTTGCACAGCATAATGAGGACTTCGGACGTACAGACCTGGTACAACATCGCATCCATACTGGTGATGCACCACCTATCCGAGAACGACATCGACCTCTTCCCCCTGCCATGTATAAAGAGATGAAATCCCTACTCTCAGGTATGCTGGAGAAAGGTGTCATTAAAGAGAGCTGTAGCCCATGGGCGGCACCCATAGTACTGGTGAGGAAAAAAGATGGCAGTTGGAGATTCTGTGTGGATTACAGGAAGTTAAATGCAATAACCCATAAAGATGCATTTCCCCTGCCCAGGATTGAAGAAACCTTGACCAGTCTGACCAGAGCAGAATGGTTTTCTACTCTCGACTTAGCCAGTGGCTATTGGCAAGTTGAGATGGACACCCAAGACCAGGAGAAGACCGCCTTCACCACACCGCTGGGGCTGTATGAATTTGAGCATATGCCCTTCGGCCTGTGCAATGCGCCAGCTACCTTCCAACGTCTGCAACAATGTTTAAATGGCCAATTGTCAGAATCCTTACTGGTGTATTTGGATGACCTTATCATTTATTCACCTGACTTTTCCTCCCATCTACAGCAGCTAGATGAGGTGTTTAACAAACTGTGGCGGCATGGCTTGAAACTGCGTCTGGATAAGTGCAAACTCCTGCAGAAGGAAGTGAAATTCCTGGGCCATGTGGTGGACCAAAAAGGGGTGAGTCCTGATCCAGACAAAATCTCAGCCGTAAAAGACTGGCCCATCCCCACCACTGTAAGACAGGTACGAGCCTTCCTTGGCTTAGCTGGCTATTACAGACGCTTCATTTCTGGCTTTGCAAAGATTGCACGCCCCCTCAACCAATTGCTGACAGGCATCCCTGCTGATAAAAAGTCGCAAATCCGAAAGGTACAGTGGTCCTCAGAGTGCCAGACATCCTTTGATCACCTGAAAGCAGCTTTAACACAAACACCTGTTTTGGCATATGCTGATTACTCCCTGCCATTCCTCGTTTACACAGATGCCAGTAATCATGGTTTGGGAGCAGTCTTGGCCCAGGTCCAACAAGGGCAAGAACGAGTGATAGCCTATGCCAGCCGCAGCCTACACCCAACAGAGCGGAATGATGCAAATTATAGCTCTTTCAAACTAGAGCTCCTGGCCCTTAAGTGGGCAGTAACCGAGAAATTTAAAGACTATCTGACTGGAGCTCGATTCACGGTGTACACTGACAATAACCCTGTGGCCCACTTACAGACAGCTCGCCTGGGTGCCATGGAACAGCGCTGGGTCGCACAGCTTGCCTCCTTCGATTATGACATCAAGTACCGCTCAGGTAAAAGTAATGTAAATGCAGATGCCCTGTCTCGGTTCCCAGTTAACCCACTGACTGCAGATGCCTCATGTGAAAACCTTGAACTGGAAACCGTTCCAGTCACGGCAGCCATTGAACTGACCCCTGAGGGAGGTGAAGAGGAGTGGACAGGCAGAGAGTGGGAGGAGGCGCAAGCTGGTGATGCGGACCTTCAAATCATTAAGAGGTATGTGGAAACCCAAATGATACCGACGAGACCAGAGCGCCTGACATTGTCCCTTAGAGCCCAGAGACTGTTGCAACAAAAGAGAGAACTTCAGGTTAAAAGTAAAATACTGTGTCGTAAAATGATTGACCCGCACACACGAAGTGTGTTTCCAGATTGTGTGTCCAGAATCTAGGAGCCAAGAAGTTTGGAAGAGGATCCATGAAGCCGCTGCCCATGCTGGTGTGGAGAGAACCCTAAACCGGATCCGTCAGCGGTTCTATTGGCCTGATATGGAGAGGGAGGTACGTCAGTTGCAGCAGGGTTATGTTGCCTGTAACCTGCAGCGAAATAGGGTGGAGCCTAAGGCCCCCCTAAATCCATTCACAGTATCCTACCCCTTAGAAGTGGTGGGGTTGGACTTTTTGTCCTTAGGTCGGCCCACAGACACCTACCAGAACATTCTTGTTGCTACTGATCTGTTTACCCGTTTTTCTTGGGCTATTCCCACTCGAGATCAAACAGCTCAGACTACAGTAAAGGCCCTGTGGACCCATGTGATCCAACCATTTGGTTGCCCCGCCCGTTTCCATTCTGACCAGGGACCCAATTTCGAATCTGCACTGATGAAACAATTTTGTGATACCTATGGTATAACTAAAAGCCGCACAACTCCCTACCATCCCGCAGGAAATGGCAGTGCAGAGCGTTTTAATCAGACCTTGTTAAATATGCTCCGCTCTTTAGAGACGTCTAAGCAATCTCACTGGGCCGACTATCTGCCCGAACTGACACACGCCTATAATAACGCCACACACAGTGCGACTGGGTATACCCCTGCCTTCCTCATGTTTGGGCGACACCTGCGACTTCCTGTTGATGTAGGATTAGGTGTAGGTCCCCAACAGATGAGGCACGATGTAGGTGGGTGGGTACAAGACCACCAGCAGAAACTGTCCTTAGCTTATAGCCTGGCTAAACAAAGAATAGAGAGTGCAGCCACCCAGAACAAGCAGCACTATGACAAGAGGGCCAAAGCGTTACCACTTTTACCGGGGGAAAGGGTGTGGGTGCGAGATAGGAACAGACGAGGGGCAGGGAAGTTGTGTACTTGGTGGGACCCAGAGCCATGGGTGGTGTTGGAGCAGGTGGGGGATACAGGGGTTGTGTACAAGATTCAGCCAGAGAAGGGTGGCAGAATACAAAATATCCATAGGAACTCACTTAAGGTGTGTACAGTACCCCCAACCGAAGTCCCGCTACCAACCACTGAGCCGGTTGTCCAGATGCAGGGACCCACTCAGCCCATGATCTACGGGTTCCTTCCAGCACCGGTAGCCATACCGCCTGTGAATGTGGAACCTGAGGGTGCCCTATGATGCTCCACCAGGGTAAACTTTTGACAAACTCCAGTCCGTTATAGAGACTCATAACATGTTGCAGGGACTGCTAACTTTAAAGTGTGGGAAGATGTCACGGGGGGAAGTTTGATTTTATTTAAGCATGCTTTTATTTTGAAGTGTGGTGTGTGTGTTTGTGTTTCGTTGGTTTTACTTCCCCACCGGAGACATGCCTTAATCAAGAGTAAGGACTTACACCTGGGACCCAGAGAGGGGAGTGACTGTTCTTGGATAAAAAGGACACTATCGAAGACACCCGGGGCACGAGGGAGGACACGGAGGGCACGAGGGAGGACACGGAGGGAACGAGGGAGGACACGGAGGGCACAACGGGCCGGACAGCAGGAAGCAGACAGAGACAGAGCGGATCATCGGCCTGGAAGAGGTCTGAAGAGACACCGGAGCAAACACCGACCGTTAGCGGCTATAATTGGGAGAAGGTAAAACTTCTCCCTCCCGCGTAAGTCCCGTTTTAGACCGGTGTTTGTGTAGTGTGTAATATATAAAGTTGTGCCTTGTTAAAGGACATTGACTGGCCCTGGGTTTCCCTCGACAGGCTGCCTAAGAGCGGAGCCAGGTGAAGAGCAGGTGGTCGCCACCAGAGACCCGCGACTGCCGTTGTTGACCTCCCACTCCATCCGTCCCGCATTATTTTAGCTGGGTTTTAGTTGTTTGTGTTTTTTGTTTTTAGTTTCTTTGAAGGTAGAGCTTTTAGTTGTTTTTACTTATCTTAAAATAAATTGTGTTCAACTGTGTTCTACTGGCTGTACTCATTGTTTTAAAAATAACACTGTTTACTGCTCTCCCCCGACATGAAAGAACCTGTTTACCCTAACTTTAATTTGGTGATTCTAAGAGGTCCTAGGCCTCAGCTAAAAACCTAGGTGGCGTTGTCGGCACCTGTGTTAATTTATCCACCCTTAGCACGGCTCACATACATAATCACCAGCAGTAAACTGGACGCTGTCTGACTCCCTCACTCGCAAGACGGAGAATGTTTTCCGGTGGAACGTAAACTGATGTCTCGGTCCGGAGGGCTGGCAGTCGCGGTGATTTTTAATCGCATACACTCCGTGAGTTTTTCGCCGGTGACAGACGCTGTTTTTCGGGCAGAAATGTAACGGAAGAGTCGGTAGGACAGGCGGGAGGACAGACAGAAGGACAGACGCTTCTGCACATACAGCTGTGGTATTTTTTTTTCCCCTCATGTAAGTTGCCAAAGACAGTTACTATGTTACTGTTGTTTGGTCCTGTAACGTTGCTTTGTGGGACATTTCTCTTTATTAAGTTTAGTGAGAGACCTGTGCAGTTATCAGACTGTCTGACCGACACGCCCTCGCTCCGTGCTGTCGGCTTATCCGTTCACACTATTTTGGTAGTTTCAAAACAATTTTTTGTTGTGGAAATCTCTCTCTCTCTCTCTCTCTCTCTCTCTCTCTCTCTCTCTCTCTCTCTCTCTCTCTCTCTCTCTCTCTCTCTCTCTCTCTCTCTCTCTCTCTCTCTCTCTCTCTCTCTCTCTCTCTCTCTCTCCTCCCTCTCTCTCTCCCCATAAGATTTCCACACAGTCAAAAAAAGAAAAAGCATATGTCCTACTCATAAAGTTCAGTTATAAAATCCCTGCTGACAGCGCAGGTAAAAGCGATGGCCTAGTGTGATGGTACACTGAAAAAAAAGACAGTAATAATGGACAACGACTGACAAAATGTTGTGTAGAGTACGGGAAGTGAGATCTGATCACAAGTGGTCACTGGAGATGCATGTGGAGACGCATTCTAATAACAGGTGTAAACTGGCTCTATGAGTTTATTTCAGCACTTGAAAAGTACAGTATCTACACCGATCAGCCATAACAGTATGTCCACCTGGACACGCTGGTGGTCATAATGTTGTGCAGCCCCATACACAACAAACTGATGCACTGTGTTTTCTGACACCTTTCTATCCGAACCAGCATTAACTTTTTTAGCGGTTTGAACTTATGGTTACTCTTATATGGAGAAGGTGCTTCATGAATAATGTTATATACTGCCATTTATGTATCGCTGCAGGGGTCCAGTGAATGTTCACATACCCTTCAGTTATAAGGGGCTGCAGCAGCTAATGTTTACCCCAGAGAAGCCATAAGTGAATCAATTGGGGATCATTGCTTAATTCATGTGCCAATTTACAAGTTGTTAGTCTGATTATGTTGGTATTGCTACTGTTGTTCTGAAACAATAACTAACAACCTAGTATTGTTTCTGCATAAAAGGAAAAATGCGTCATGTCCTTTGTGGTGAAGTTAGGATCTGAAGTGTTGTCCACTTCTTTTTTCCACTGTGATCTGCAACCAGAGCTTTGGTTTCTGCAGGCCACCTGTGAATCTGGAAAGAAAACAGTGATCATTAAAATTATGGGCATTGGTGTTAAAAGGAAGCGGGCAGTGCTTCACAGCACATCTGCCTAGTCTGTGTCCCTATAAAGTCAGTGGCTTGTCTTTTGTGTTTGATACCTATTACAGGTAGCTAGTCTAGCTATGTACCAACAACTGTTAGATTCAATGCTACTGCCACACACTGCAGTCATCTCAGATTAAATGAAATAAGTACCTTGAAACAAAGTGCCTGTGAGGTGTTATGATTGATTGTGGTGAATGTGAGTGTGAAAAGCCACAAAGTTTTTCCACTGCATCACAGATATGTGCTTGTGGTGTTTTCCGGTTCTGGTGGAACTAGTGAGAAATGTAAGTGCACCTGTAGAAACAACAAAAAAAATGAAGCCAGAGTATGCACCAGAAAAAACATCTGAGGTTTTTGCATGCCGAACAAAGAGGATGTGACATTTGCGGCTGTAAATGCACAAACAAAGCCCACTTTGTCAGAGCTTGTGATTGAGGTTGTGAACAAGAACAGACAAATCATTGACAAAATAATTTGGAGATTGACTGTGGTTTTGTTTCACTGTTTGAGAGTGAGAAGAACCTACCTGTAATAATATTAAGAGATCAGGGGCTCTGAACTCATTTATTGTAGACTTTGTGTTACCTTTCTTTCCTAAAGGACAACAGACACTGGTTCCAGTGTTGGGGTCCAAGGGATGTGTCTGCAGTCTTTCCTATTCCACAACATAAATTGAACCTTATCTCAAATCTGGTGCAAGCAGATGTGACCATATAGGGGTGCACCCCTCTTTGCCTATGAGGACAGTACAGGTCATCTTAGGAAATCAACTTTGGTCTGAAGTACCTAAATTACCAATTTCCCAGGTAGAAAGTTATTATATAGAGTCTTCCCAAAATCCTTCTGTGGTACTCTATGGGTACCTTCTCCGAGACGGCCAGTTGGTGAGAAAATGGATACCCAGGCAGGTATTTTGAGCGGGATGATATTGTGCACATTGTTTTGCCCTCTACATAAAAACTTATTGTACATCAGACTGCTTGTGATGCCGTTGCAGGGCATTTAGGTGTTAGAAAGATATATAATCGAGTCATGCAACATTTTTACTGGCCTCATTTAAAAAGAGACATATTTGCCTTGCCACACATGTCAGTTGACTGGAAAACTAAACCAGGTAATCAAACCTGTCCCTCCATATCCCATTCCAGTTGCTGAACATCCATTTGAGCACATAACTATGTAGGTCTTCTGCCATGCTGCAAAGCTGTTAATAACCCTTTGCTTACAGTGATGTCAGGCTACATGCTATTGTGCAGGTTATCCCCTCAGAAACATCACCACCAAGTCAGCTATGAAAGCTTTGACACAATTGTGTCAATCCCAAAGATTATTCAATCTAATTGGGGATCTAATTTCTGTTCAGCGCCTACCAAGCTCAGAGCCAGGGAGCTCTAGAAAGGTTTCATCAAACCTTGAAGTCCCTTCTTAATGCATATTGCCCTGACTTGGACTGCGGCTGGGAGCAGGGGTTACCATAGCTGATGTTAGCTGCCAGGGACTACCAAGAGACTTTGGTATTTAGTTCTAGTGATGTGGTCTTTGGTCACACAGTTCAAGGTCCTCTAGCCACCCTCCACAATGACGGACAAACCATAGAGTCCCCAAAAACGTTAATTGTGTAAATGTTTCAGGGAGCAGCTGTACTACGCAAATGGTGAGAGAAAATCTACAGACAGCTGAAATTAAATGAAAAGTCTCAACGTGGAGAACACTGTAAATTTAATCCTGGTGATCAAGTTCTGGCAATTCTGTATTTAGTTGGCTCTCCTTCCCTGGCCAAGTTCTCTGGCCCTTATACAGTGTCCTCTTAAAACCCTATTTTGCTTGCGCTCCTGTGCCAGGTTCTGGGTCGTTGCTTTCCTCTGTTGCCATAGTGGCGCAGTGGGTCATTCACCCCTACCTCTTGATCTGGCAGCAGATTTGGAGGAAGAGTTCAGCACACCAGATCCTAGCACATTGAGAGTATGTCTTTAAAACTCTCAGTCACTTACCAATCTAGATGAAATGTTGAAACATTTACTTGAACCAAAACAAACTGAGTTGGTGAATCTAATTAAATAGACGAAAAAAACGGCAAAGCAAAGTGTAACATCTGTCACAATAATATTTCTGGGTCAACAGACAATTTGCATCGCCATTTAAAAACTCAAAACTCAACACCCGACAGTCAAAGTGGTGGAGGGAAGAAGAGGACCAACTAAGATAAAATGGGTTACCCCCAGGCTAGCTTCTTAAAAATAAATAAATATAAAAATGCCATCTAAAAAAACTTAACAAAACATTTTACATTAGAGTTTTGGAATTTGTACATACCCTGCAAAATAAATGTCAAATGTTGATGTATGAACTCAATTAATGATTGTATCTGCTATTTTCATGTCACTTTTAGTTCCTGTATCTATTTACAAGACTATGTGTAGTCTGCGTGGTTGTCTTGAGAATAATGAGCTGGCTTTAGTTCAAATGGGAGGAGACATTGTGAGGAAATGAAGAAGACTGAGAAGTTGGACTATAAAAGACAGACTTTAGGAGAGTTCACATCTTCTCTCTACAGTCATTCTCATCTCTCAGGGTTGATTGTTGTTCTCTCCGTTAACGATGCAGTTTTATGGAGTTCTGGTCCTGATGGTGACTCTGTCTACAGGTAAGAACAGCTCATGAATCATGATCTTAGCTTGACGTAACACAAACACATTAAAGTTATTAGTGTGTTAAAGTTATTGTTGAACATGAAAAAGGTAGTGGCTCGAAAGTTAAAGTAGTGTGATCATTATATTCTATATTTTTCGGATGTTAATAAAATACCACCACTTGCAAAGCAACCTCTCTGTAGAGTAATAATATTTTTTCCATAATGTATTTCTGTATAGAATGTGGCCTTGAAATGCTATACATGTGAATTGTGGGTGACTCATGTGTGACTGTGTTTCTGTGTAGCCTGTGGACTGAAATGCTACGTATGTACTAGTGGCAGTGAATCCTGCCAGCCCCAAACTTGTCTTTCCATGATGGACAGTTGTTCAACAACCACGATGAAGGGTAAGTTGTTTTTCCACAACAGACCAATTTATCACTAATAAATTTAAATAGATGGAGCTGATATATTTATGTACTGAATGCCTGTTGGCTTTTGTTGTCGATGACACTGGGGTTTTTCCATTATATTTTTCAGGTGTCACCATCAAGAGCTGCATGATGAGTAATGCCTGTATAGGTCCCATAAAATGCTGCAAAGAGGACTTGTGTAACAGTGCCATACCCACTGGTTCCAGTGTCTTCCTCCTGATGGTATCCACAGCCATCATCACACTGTTTCTCTGAGGCTCCGGAGAAAACCCTATCTGTAACTCAGGAAAAATAAACATGTAAAATCTGTGAATGACTACAGATCCAGAATTGCTCAATAAAACTGCAATATGATTGACCATTGAAATGTTGACTAATTATTTCACATCACTATTTACAATTTACTAATTAATCTGACCGGCAATCTCCATAAACACCGATCAGCTGACGCATTTATTTTCTTCCACAGCGGAGATATATTCAGTCTGCGACACACACACACACTAACTTTGCGACCGCATGGTGTAATAACGCTGAGTGAATCATTGTAGGTTTGTAGAGAAAAAGAGAGAAAGAGAGAAGTTACCCGGTGACCACGGTGGACATTTTACAAGCACGGAGCAGGTAAAGCAGTTTCACATGTTGGCAATAAATAAACAGTTGTCAATTCATCATCTAATATTAAAACTTTAATACTAATATACCATGATTATGATCAGTTGTTGATCCTGAGGAATAATGAAGCAGAACAGCATACCTTAAGATTTTGGACCTTTTTATATCTTTTTATTTTTCTAATTTTCTTTTCTAATTTCTAATTTCTAATTTTTCTATAAGCCAACTATGCAGCTCCTTAAAGCCCCACAGCAACCCAGGGCCCCCCAAACTCATGCATCGTTTGCTGAATAGGAATTGGCTGGTCATCTGACCTTGCAACCCTTCATCTACTGTAGATTTAGAGTACCAAGGTTAAAGTGCGATAGGAGTTAAACCTCATTTATTCCTTGTGCAATATCCCTGCTATTGCTATATAATCCTATTTTAGCACCTTACACATGAAATTATCAATCTTTTTGGCATTGTTGTTCCTATTGTTATTTAATTTATATTTAGTGCTTGGCAGATTAAAATGTTTAATCATGATTAATCGCATGATTTAAAATTCAATAATGAATTCAAAAGTAGTCTATTGCGCACTTTTATTTTGAAAGTAGTGTTTTATGAACAAAAGTGCAATAATATTTGGTTTGCACAATACAACTTTATACTTTAAACAAATAAGTTGCTTTTTAACTGCAGTAGCTATTCCCTTTACACAGTAGCAGTTAAAATATTTCTTGCACTATCTGTGCTAAGTATGCTGACTTTATTTAAACTTTGCTCTGCTGTGCAAACCAAATGTCTCTCTGTTTTCATTAGAGTTAGAGTATGTGAATGCAGCTCCCACTGCCCATCAATATAATGCACTGTAACTCCGAGGTAACTATGGTTACTCAGTGATGTCCAGTAGTCTTCAGTGAAAGCGACAGTTGGTGAACGTTGTAACGCCGTCGCTTTTGTAGTCTTTTCATACAACTCGTCTATTCTCGGTCTGTCTTGAGGGAGGCTCATAGTGCCGTCATTCGTTGCGATCCTATCTTCCACAATAGTAATCGGCCGACAGTCGCTGTGGCATTTGTTAGCTTATCTTGCTTTTGTCTATCTATACTTCTCCCACACGCTGCATCCAACGTAGTCTGCCTCCCTCCACTCCCCTCCTGTGACCCATGGTTTGTCTGGATGTGTATTCAGAGCCAGTGAGCAACCGACTTTCATAATAATAATAATAATAATAATAATAATAATAAAACTGCGTTAATGCGAGATGAAATGATTGTCGGCGTTAATAATGCGTTAACGCTATAATAAGGTGTTAACTTGCCCAGCCCTATTTTGTGTGTGTGTGTGTGTGTGTGTGTGTGTGTGTGTGTGTGTGTGTGTGTGTGAATGAATGAATGAACAATATTTGTGTTTTTGGTATTTTTTTTGTTTTCCTTGAATCAAGTTTCCCATTCGCGATAATAAAGATAACTGAACTGAACTGGACATTATGGGGAAAGGCAGCCCAAAGAAAAGATGTCAGGCTGGACTTAAGTTTCACTTTTATTTCCCGGAGATACCTATGAGAAAGCAAAACAAAACCATCAGAATCGCCAGGTGTGTGCGCACATACAAGGGATTTGACTCCGGTTTTACGTTGCTCTCAATGCACAAACACAGGCTAACTGTAATAAATGACAAGTAAATGTCCTGAATGGATCATTATTTTCATTATTTTAAATTGTAATAAAATTATGTGAAATATTTTTTAACTGACTTTTTAAAATACAATTTGGAGTAACTTAAACCATGTGAGACAATATTCTGTATTTCTGTATAACATGTGGATTGAGGTGTTATGTGTAGACCCCGACTCTGTATTCTGCACAGAGATCTTAACTTTATAGCTAATATGAGGCATTTCAAACAGACAGTCCTCCTCCTGCTGGTATCTTCATCCATCACCACAGTCTTTCTCTGAGGCCCTGGAACAGCTTCAGTTCCACATCCCAAGTATTTGTAGCTAATATTGAGTAAAATCTATCAGGTCTGAGCTGATTTATTGCTGCTCTAAATGACCCATATTTATCCAATCATATCTTTCTGTACAAGCCCCATAAAATACTGTAAAGGGGACTTGTGTAACAGTGCCCTACCTTCTGGTTCCTCCTGCTGGTATCTTATCTATTCAGTATGACTGTGTGTAGTCTACATGGCTGTTTTAGGAATAAGGAGTTGGATTTAGTTCAAATGGGAGGAGGCATTGTGAGGAAACGAACTGAGAAGTTGGACTATAAAAGACAGACTTTAGGAGAGTCTTCTCTCTACAGTAATTCTCATCTCTCAGGGTTGATTGTTGTTCTCTCCGTTAACGATGCAGTTTTATGGAGTTCTGGTCCTGTTGGTGACTCTGTCTACAGGTAAGAACTGCTTATTGATTCATTATTAAAAAGGTAAATTAATTAATTTAAAGTTATTTATTTCATAATAAAAGTATGGAAACATTTTTACAATTAGGGTTCATATTTGGCTCGTTGGCTTTTTCTCTCAAGTTTCTCTTCACTTTCTCTTACTAGAACATTTTCTGAGTTGTCAAAATCCAAAATGGGAACCAAAAAAATCTCTTTAAACTGATGGTGTTTTTTGTGAAAATGTAAAATACAATCAATTTTGAGCATTTTGAACCCTGTGTGACAGTTTTCTGTATTTTCTGTGTAGCATGTGGACTGAGATGCTACGCGTGTATAGTCGACAATAATACACCCTGCACAACAATCGGGACATGTGCCCCCGGCTTAGACCGCTGTGCCACCCTCAATCTGAACGGTAATTTGTTCTTCCACTTCAGAAGTATTTGTAGCAAATATTGAGCAATATCTATAAGGTCTGAGTTGATTTATTGCTGCACTAAATTACCCATATATATCCGATCATATCTTTCAGGTGTCATCATCAAGGGCTGTGAAAATAGTGCCACGTGTATAAGCCCCATCAAATGCTGCAAAGGGGACTTGTGTAACAGCGCCATACCCACTGCTTCCAGTGTCTTCCTCCTGCTGGTATCCTCTGCCATCACCACAGTCTTTTTCTGAGGCCCTTAATATAATATATATTAAGAGCAAACACATTTTCATTATGTAAAAGCTGTGAATGACTACTACATCAAGAATTGCTCAATAAAACTACAATGTGACTGATTATTGAATTGTTTACTTCTTTGGACTTTCTGTTTTTCACACACTCACCACAAAGTGCAGAACACTGAAGGGTCAACAAACCTCAGAGTCACCACTTCAGACACAAATAAAATACAGAAAAGATTTGAGGTTCTCTGTAAAGGAGATGCTTGATGTCTTACCGGTCCAATAACATTTTAACTTTTAATACACTTGGAGCTGCTTTTTGGAAATACCTTATAAATGACTTATTACCATAACAAGAACATTTGAAAATGGCATTTCATATCAAAGTTGCCGACCCCTGGTATATACCATCAAATATTGTCCACTAATCTAAAGGAAAGAATTAATAAATATAAAGAGGAAGTGAAAAGTGAATAATGAGTTAAACATGTGGTTGTCAGCTTAAAAATTGTGATTGTGACTGTAATTTTCCACAATACAGAGGTTATCATGTTGACATAAAGTGAAGCATGTGAGTGCATCTGTCCTCCACCTCAAATTGCTTTTTTATTGCCAGCACCAAACCCTGTAATGCCAGAATAAAAAACATATATCTGTTACCTTATCGTGCAGTTATTCAGTTTATAACCTTGAATAAAATTCACACTGAAGGAAATAAGGATAATTCTCACCATAAAACGAAACCATTGGAGCTTTGGGACTAGAAATCTAGATGCCCATTAGGTGGAAGACCGCAGTGATGAGACAATCTGAGATCGGTTTTACTTATTGACTGTGGAAGGCACATGAGGATGAGGATCAGCTTAAGGATGGAACAATACAATCAGAAGTGAACATAAGTTTCATTCTCATTTTCTGGATGGACGGTTATAATCTGTAGGCAGATGTCCAGATAAAGAGCAGGTCAGAGGAAACACGATGTTAATCATTAACACAATCACATTCTGCTGTGGCAGCAGTTCCCTAGTGGTCATTTCCCTTAAAAAAATTAAATAAAAATGCTATTTTTTGGCATGTGTGCTCACTGAATTATCTTTCTTTTTTCTTTTTCTCTTTTTCTAATTCAGTTCTAGTGTCTTTTCAGGAGAATTATCTATGAATAAAAAGAGCTAAATTATTAGTTTCTTTTACCCAAAAAGGCAGAAGAGTTGGGGGCTTTTTCTAGCTTAACCTTGTGTCAGCAGTCTTCCTCACAAGCTGTACAGCTCAAACAACCTCCATTAAGAAGGTAGGGCAGCTTGTATGTTGCCAGACAGGTAAAGTCCAGGGCTTGTCCCACAGATTTGCATTTTCTTTGCATGATGAAAGAATTGCAGAAGAGTTGGCAGACTTTTCCAGTTTTGAGTCGTGTCTGCAGTCACCTCCACAATAAACTGCAGTGGCTTTTATGTTTCCCGAGAGACAAAGTCCAGGGAGAAAATGGTCTGCAAATGTGTAACTAACTAACTTGTTTGTACTGTTTGTCTGTGAGGAGGGGCAAAAATAAACAATGTATGTACTGTTTTTTTCCCATAAGATGAAAATATGTGTCTCAAAGATACCACTCATTTTATGTGATGTAGTTTTATGTTTAGTGTGCAAGTCAAGGAATTTAGTCTAATTAATCAGCAATGTTGATGCCTTACAAAACTCTCGATTACTTTGTTTAATATAAGGTTTAACCCCTATCCATGATCTATTGCAGATGAGTGGAGTGAGGACAGAATGAAGCTATACCACATCATAATAGGCATAATATCCATTAACCTTTGACATAGTCTATGTTAAAAACAAGGAAATCAGTTTTAATTGTTCTTGAATGTCTTTAGAGTTGACAGCAAGGGCCAACACTAATGGAAATGTGTGTCCCAAATTACCACAAATGTCCCTAACAAACATTTCTGTGTCAACTACAACAAAATGGTGAGCCATGCATTATCATACACACTTAATGTCTTCACTGAAAGAAAGGAGACACCTCCAGTAATTCAGAAATGTTTCATATTGTTGGGTACAAGGAACAACATGTGAAGTTAGGGAAGCAGGGGCTAATATCTTGGAACTAAAAAGGTCCATCTTCTATAATTACAGCATTATAGTATGAACTACTGAATGAGAGTAAAATTATGTTGGGCGGAATTAAATGAGAATGTGAGCGTGACCATCCATACACAGGTCATAAACAAGCATCCACTTGTTTACTTCCTGTAGTCCCTAACAGTAATGACTAACACTCTGTGTAACAGCAGTATCAATCCACACAACCCCACCCCTAAGTACAGTTAGTACAATGTTGTACTGTAAATGCAACATGCGCAGTAATATTTAGACTACAGGCCTACAGTGTGTTCCTGACAATAGCCTTTTCCTGGGACCTCTGTTTATTTCACAGTAAAAATAAATGTGCACTGCAATTAATTAGAAAGTACCCCAAACCTAGAAAAGAAACATCTGTTTGTTTGCCTGTCCTATTTGTTAGCATCTATTATCACAGCCGATTGATACAGAACTCATTATCACTTCCAGCTCTGTTGCTCTGTGAAGATCATAATATACCTCTTAATATTAGAACAGGTACCTGGTAGTTCAAAGTACTGACAGTAGGCCTATACTGCAAGTTCTCTTTAAAATCTCTCCAAGTGTGATACCAAAATATATTTATTTGAGAAAAAGTATTTCATCTAGTTTCACAAAGTCAGCCAGAAAGACTTATGAGTGGTTCTCTTCCTGATGATGCATTTGTTGTTGTTTCTTTTTAGAAATGTTTTTTCGTTGTCTGATTTATTAGTGGAAGCCACTCTGCATAGGATGTGAAAATCCCTTTCTTTGGCACCATCTTGTGAACATCTCATGGTGCTGTGTTTGAAAAGTGTTGAAGTGAATGATAATCAGTGTGGGTGTTGAATTTTGTGTCTACATGCAGAATATGTTTGTGTAAAAAGTGTTCTTAAAGGACCAGTGAGTAGGATTTAGTGGAGGCGCCTGTCAGAGAGACACTTTGACTTACAGTTACCCAAAATAGTTTTGTTCCTCCTTCCAGATGGTATAAGTCTGTGTTAAACTTTGAATGTCAGATTATTGGTGTTGGTTATTGGTGAGCTTTCACATAATATCAATATTCTGCATTTCACGTGGTTTATTCAGTGAATGTTTTATACAAACAAACTAAAACAATGATGATATCAAACTCTAAACTTTATACTTCCTCACTAAGAGGTGGGCTGAGCTGCTGCAAAATCATAACAGTTGGCTACAACCAGGATCAAAACATTACAAAAACAGCCGGGTTTGTAGGAGTGGGATGAGTATCAACCAGGATACAACCAGGATCACATCTGGTCACATCTCCAAACCAGACTCAATGCATCTGCTATTTCTTGGCATGTGCTCACTAAATTATCTTTCTTTTTTCTTTTTCTCTTTTTCTAATTCAGTTCTAGTGTCTTTTCAATTATCTATGAATAAAAAGAGCTAAATTATTATCCAAAAAGGCAGAAGAGTTGGGGGCTTTTTCTAGCTTAACCTGGTGTCAGCAGTCTTCCTCACAAGCTGTACAGCTCCAACAACCTCCATTAAGAAGGTAGGGCAGCTTGTATGTTGCCAGACTGGCAAAGTCCAGGGCTTGTCCCACAGATTTGCATTTTCTTTGCATGATCTTGAGAGTCAGTTCTGGTGAACTGGAAGAGAATTATCTATAATTAAAAATAGCTAAAGCATTTTAACTAAGAAAGGCTTTGAGTCGCGTCTGCAGTCACCTCCACAACAAACTGCAAATGGTCTGCAAATGTGTAGCTACTACTACTCAGATTAGCATTTTAAGATTTTAATCGACTCAAAGCTTCTAGGTCCGTGTATGTTTTGGTCATTGGATTTTCCTTTCAGAAACGGGTATTAAAAAACAGAAAACGAGTGGTTATTTGATTTTCGTTTTAAAATACAAAAATTAAAATTGAAATGCAAGGCGTTTTTCTTTTTTATGGTCAAAAAGGGATGAGCGAAATTAAAAAAATTATTCGATTTTCATTTTCTATTTCATATAACAAAAAATAAAATCACTAGAAAACAGAAACGGAAAAAAGGCCTGTTTTTTCATATTCTGAGACCGGATGTTGTCATTTACAGGACGGTGCTGTGGAGAAGAAACAGTAGACTAGTAAACTGCGGTCAATCCAGCCGTGAGTCCGATCTCCGTGGTCAAATCAGCCGCACTTAAATTTAGAGTGTACAAGTATTCTCAGCATTATGGTAAATGCGGAGAAACAACGTTATTTTACTTCCGGTTTTCAAAATAAAGGTATTTAGAACAGTAAGCTATAAATAAAATATGTTACATTATTGACAATTTGGGTCGTAAGTAGTGTTTCCTGGCCCCTGATGGTAAATTGACTTTTACACATATGAGACTACAAACATACTTCATATCAAGCATCTTATACTGTACCAGTGTGGAGAAATTCAACAATAAAAGTCTCATATTTATGCCTCCAGAGATTGCATATTTTGACCATATTTGAGCTTCTGTAAAAACACATTGCTCAGTGATTCCTGGCTACTGATGGTAAATTTGACTTTTACACATATGAGACTACAATATACTATTTTTACTGTACCAATGTGGAGAAATTGAAGAATAAAAACCCCATATTTATACTTCCAGATTCCATATTTTCTTATATTTGAGCTACTATAAAAACATATTGCTCAATATTTCCAGGCTATGGGTGAAGCATTTTCATTATACTTCAATAATGCTGCAGTAATCATGACAAAATTTCACACAAATGTTTAATAACATCTTGATAATATAAACACTAAACACAAAATCCTACACAATTCTAATTTGTTTACTTTTCGCACAAAATGCAATGCCAGTCCACATTCTTCTTATTTTGCAGCTCTGCTGTGTCCATTTGTAGGTAAAAGGAAAAAATAATTAGTTTTAACTTCAAAACACCATTGTACCTACTGTCTCTTCCTCACATATTATTTTTTATATTATTCAGTGTGACAGCTGTTGCAGGTGGTTCCACATTCAGTTTACATTTTTACAGTAGCTCAAATATAAGAAAATATGGAATCTGGAAGTATAAATATGGGACTTTTATTCTTCAATTTCTCCAAATTGGTACAGTAAAAATGCTTGATATTAAGTATACTTGTAGTCTTAGATGTGTAGAAGTCAAATATATCATCCATAGCCAGGAATTATTGAGCAAAGTGTTTTTACAGTAGCTCAAATATATGAAAATACCACTTGGAGGTACAAATATGGACTTTTATTGTTGAATTTCTCCAAATTGGTACAGTAAAAATGCTTGATATTAAGTATGTTTGTAGTCTCATATGTGTAAAAGTCAAATATACCATCAGTAGCCAGGAGACACTGAGCAATGTGTTTTTACAGTACCTCAAATATGGTCAAATATGCAATCTCTGGAGGCATAAATATGAGACTTTTATTTTGGCATTTCTCCACACTGGTGCAGTAAAGATACTTGATATGAAGTGTTTTTTTATTCATCAGGGGCACAACACTTTAATGTAACATATTTTAATTATAGCTTACTGTTCTAAATACCTTTATTTTGAAAACCGGAAGTAAATACGTTGTTTCTCCGCATTTACCATAATGCTGAGAATACTTGTACACTCTAAATTTAAGTGCGGCTGATTTGACCACAGAGATCGGACTCACGGCTGGATTGACCGCAGTCTACTAGCCTACTGTTTCTTCTCCACAGCACCGTCCTGTAAATGACAACATCCGGTCTCAGAATATGAAACAACAGGCCTTTTTTCCGTTTTCTGTTTTCATTTATTATGAAATAGAAAATGAAAATCGAATATTTTTTTAAATTTCGCTCATCCCCTTTCTGACCATGAAAAAGAAAAACGCCTTGTATTTCAATTTTAATTTTTGTATTTTAAAACGAAAATCAAATAACCACTCGTTTTCTGTTTTTTAATACCCGTTTCTGAAAGGAAAATCCAATGACCAGAACATACACGGACCGAGGAGGGGCAAAAATAATTTTCCCCATAAATCAATGCTTTGGTCTCCACTGATATCAGTATATGATGAAAGCAACCTTAAAACAAATTAATATCCCATACATCATACCCTCAAACCTTCACATAAAACAACTATGTGTGTAGAACTTGAAAGTTTAAACAATGGCGCCCTCCAGTGGTAGAAAACAACATGCTGCAACAAGTTTTCTACAAGCAGAAACTTATATAATTAATAATTTGGAGATGAAAATATATGTCCAAAAGATGGCACTCATTTTATGTGATATTCAGATTTGGATCTACTTTCCTCAGTTGATTGTCTTTTCTTACTATTGTATTTGTGTACAACTTTATTAATTTGATTGTTATTCATGTTGTAAATACATATTCTTTGACTTTATTCCTTGGTAATATTTTCAATGTATTTGATTTTATTTATGTGAAAGCTCACCAATAACCAATACCAATAATCTGACTTCACTTTAACACTTTTCAAACACAGCACCATGAGATGTTCACAAGATGGTGCCAAAGAAAGGGATTTTCACATCCTATGCAGAGTGGCTTCCACTAATAAATCAGACAACGAAAAAACATTTCTAAAAAGAAACAACAACAAATGCATCATCAGGAAGAGAACCACTCATAAGTCTTTCTGGCTGACTTTGTGAAACTAGATGAAATACTTTTTCTCAAATAAATATATTTTGGTATCACACTTGGAGAGATTTTAAAGAGAACTTGCAGTATAGGCCTACTGTCAGTACTTTGAACTACCAGGTACCTGTTCTAATATTAAGAGGTATATTATGATCTTCACAGAGCAACAGAGCTGGAAGTGATAATGAGTTCTGTATCAATCGGCTGTGATAATAGATGCTAACAAATAGGACAGGCAAACAAACAGATGTTTCTTTTCTAGGTTTGGGGTACTTTCTAATTAATTGCAGTGCACATTTAAAAATAATTAGTTTTAACTTCAAAACACCATTGTACCTACTGTCTCTTCCTCACATATTATTTTTTATATTATTCAGTGTGACAGCTGTTGCAGGTGGTTCCACATACAGTTTACAGTTTTACAGTAGCTCAAATATAAGAAAATATGGAATCCATTAGTGTTGGCCCTTGCTGTCAACTCTAAAGACATTCAAGAACATTTAAAACTTATTTCCTTGTTTTTAATATAGACTATGTCAAAGGTTAATGGATATTATGCCTATTATGATGTGGTATAGCTTCATTCTGTCCTCACTCAACTCATCTGCAATAGATCATGGATAGGGGTTAAACCTTATATTAAACAAAGTAATCAAGAGTTTTGTAAGGCATCAACATTGCTGCTTAATTAGACTAAATTCCTTGATGTCACTACTTGCACACTAAACATAAAACTACATTTTGACTTTGGTGGTACCTATCGTCTGAGAAAATTACTATATTATGCTGGTGTGAACAAACTATAAGACCTGTTATTACACACAATCTGGGGGTATTAGCATCAATTAACCCCAATTAGCAGACTCTTTCTTCAAAGTCCATTAATTGTGTTGACATAGATACAAGCGCCTCTTTTGTATCAGGTTAAATGAATACTTTAGTGCTGAACTTCGATGTAATAGCCTTCTAACATTTACCTAAAATGGAATTAGCCTATGTCACAAGACTTTAGTGATGTGTTTCCCAGGCAAGGTCTCAGCACCATTCATTCAGGGCAGAAGTACAATGCTGTTTTCTTTTGCTGTTCCAATTTACTTAATGTCCCCATATATCTAAATGCATCCTATTGTAGTGGTTCACTGTTAATACAAAAAATCCCTGTAAATTGGAAAGAATAAAACTATGTTGTATGTTACATTAATCTAAAGTGTTACAGGTGAATTTTTTAGGTTGCAAAATAGGCCTAAATGTGAAATGTAGGATGTTGATGTAGCAACCAATGGAATATGTTGAAGTAAAGTACTGCAAAATTTACATCCTGATTTATATCACGAAAAAAGCAGACTTAACAGATTTAATCTTTTCCTGAAAATTATTTTCAAGTCACTATTATTTTTTAGAGTTGTCACTATTGTATTTGTTTAACTGTATATTATCTATACGTCTGTCTCTGGGATACTGAGCTCACTTTAGGTGAACTGACTGGTTTGTGAAGAAATGCAACTGTCAAGTTTTGAAAGAAGACTGACATTGAGCTTATATGTTATGTCATAACTCAGTAGCCTGTTTCAATTTACACCCACATCAGAGAGCAGACCTAATGCCAAAACTACCAGCAATATCTACACAAAACCCCTCGAACAGCTCCATGGAAGTCTTTATAAGTTCGGGGACAGAGAGGTGGCATTGCCGTCACAATAACAAAAAGTTATTTGTTTTTTTAGTTCAAATAACTTAATTTGGGGCCTTTTTTAAGCATTCCAAGCAAATATTGATATATGTGATTGTCTGAGATTAAATGCCACCCGTTAAAAGTCTAAATGCCATACCCTGGATGCATTAAAATTGCTCCACATCTGATCCTGGCTAAAGCATTACTTCACTTATACTATGTTTGTTAAATAGATTGCAAAATAAATGTGAAATGTCAGATGTTCCTGTATCAATTAATATAGTATTGTGAAGCAAAATACTGCAACATTATGTCCTGATTCATGTTTTATCTGCTACTAACAATGATTTTCAGGTCTTTATTTATATGACATGGCATGATATTTATGACTGTCTCTGGGATATTGAGCTCATGTGAAGACAGCTTGGAGACTTTGTGAAAAAAAAAACTGTCATGTTTTGTAACAAGAAGAGGAAGACAGTTGGATTATAAAAGGCTGGCTTTGGAAGAGATAACATCTTCCCTCCAGTTTTTCTCTCACAGGGTTGATTAAAAGTCTCTTCGTTCATAATGCAGTTTTATGGAGTTCTTGTGATGATGGTGACTCTGTCTACTGGTAAGCCTATATATATCTATAGAGTTATATTATATTTATTTAACTTACACTATATCCAAAGCAACTTAAAATAATTGCATCTAACTATTTGGACACAGAAATCGCAGAAATCATCAGCTTCAGTCAACAACAGATGTGTTTTCAGTCTCATTGTCAGATTTTGTAGAGTTTCTGTTAACAGTCCCACCTTGTAGTGAGTGAGTAAAGAGCATAATGGATTGACATTGTAACACAAATTAACATAATTACTGAGTAAAAGTTATTGATATAACTTCCAAAGGGTAGTAGCTTTTTAACAGTGTTTTTAGAGGGAATTAGGATTCATATTTGTCAGCTCATACTTCTCTTCACATTCTCTTAATGTAAAGTTTTCTGTGGTTGCAGAGGACATTACCTGGAACCTTTTGTAACACCACATTAACAAAAACATCTATTTAAACAAATGGCGTTTTTAGTGAACATTTGTAAAACAATGAGATTTAGATTTGATGTCATTTAAACCATGTGTGACTGTGTTTCTGTGTAGCCTGTGGACTGAAATGCTACATATGTAGTTCTGAGAGTGAATGCAAGGAACAAACTTGTCCTTCCGGCTTTGACAGTTGTTCAACCACCATGGTGAATGGTAAGTTGTTTTTCCACAACAGAACAATTTTTTTTACTAATATTAAGCATTTCAAATAGATGGAGCTGATATATTTATGTACTGAATGCCTGTTGGCTTTTGTTGTTGGTGTTGAGGTTTTTCCATTATATTTTTCAGGTGTCACCGTCAAGAGCTGCGGGTTACTTTCTTCCTGTCCAAGTCCCATGAAATGCTGCAAAGGGGACTTGTGTAACAGTGCCATACCCACTGGTTCCAGTGTCTTCCTCCTGATGGTATCCTCAGCCATCATCACACTGTTTCTCTGAGGCCTTCTTCTCTGAGAATATCATGTAAAATCTGTGAATGACTACAGAGAGAATTGCTCAATAAAACTACAATTTGATTGACCATTGAATTCATTATTTCTTTGGGTTCTGCATTTCACATCACTATTAACAGAAAACGTAGCTTTGTTATAAAGCCCTATTTAGAAAGGACAATGGTGGGACAGATAAGGTTTTACATCTTGGGGTCTTTAAATATTAGCTGCCAATCACCAAACGTGTTATTGCATTGTTTCTACAAATGTCCTTCCCTTGAAACAATAGTTTTTATTTGTCTGAGATAACTAAGAAGGACAGAGCAAAGACTCGGAAAATCACTGGTCCCAGAACTTGTAAGATATGTGGCATGTTGATAAGAGTACTGTAGCTAAAACAAAACGGTTTTAGGATGTTAACTGTTATGGGTAAGGGTTTGAGTGACTCCTCCATTTTAATTAAAGTCTTTAGTAATAAAAATGTTTTATATTTTCTGAAGTGAAATGTTTCTAGGCTACCAAGTGCCATAAAATCAGTTGTTTCATGTTAGCGTATGCCACCCTGTCATATTACAGACATTTTAAATATTTGTGTCACAAAATATTCAACATGATGGGTTGAGTCCATGACAGCCACAGTTGTCTAGAACAGTATGTTAACAGGCCCAGTTACCTCAGTAATATGAGAGTGTATTTCTATCTATTAATGTGCCTAACAGACTGTTCACTGTGAAGTTGACCGAATTAGTTCCTCTTCTGTCTGTGGGCAAAGCAATGGTATTCCAGTGTGAGTGTGGAAGCTTTCATGTGTTACACACGAAAGAACACCAACCTGATCATTCTTGGAGGGGCGCGGTTGTAAAAGGTTGAGAATAATGTCTCTGAACCTATGAAATCTCACAGGATAACAGCAGAGAAACACAAGCTATAATCACAGAGCCTCCAGTCTCTGCTAAACAGCCCTCATCCTGCATTAGAAAAGTTGAGAAGACTAATAGAAGCTAATAGAACAATGCCCAAGCATCAGGGAGAAGAAAACACTGAATATGTTAAAAAATGAAGCAAATTAATGATTGTTGTAAAAAAAAAAAAAAAAAAAGTACACAATACAGATGGAGAATTAAATAAATGACTCAACATGCTATATGGCTTACCCTACAAATTCTGGGACCAGTGATTTTCTGAATCTTTGCTCTGCCCATCCCATCTCAGACCAATCAAAACAATCATTTCATAAAGGACCTTTGTAGCAGCAATGCAATAACATGTTTGGAGCCCAGGATTTAAAACCTTATTTGTCCAATTTTGCCTCACAAGCCTATTTTACCTGAACATGTCATCAAAGTGGCGTATGGGTTCTTGGTGTGATTTGAAGGTCTGAAGTATTTCATTTGGCAACATGTTTTCTTTAAATAAATATAGCAAAGATCCATAACAAGTTCTAAAAGTAACATTTAAGGTAGTCTTCAGGATTTCAGGTGGTTTTCTTGCTAATCTAAGTGTCCCAAATGACTAACAGATTCCACTCTACGTGGTTAGGTGTTGATTCTGATGAATAATGAAGCAGAAAACCAGATCTTAAGATGTTGGACTTCTTGCTTTGTTGCCCTTTTACTTTTCACACGTCACCACAAAGTGCAAAGTAAACAAAACAGGACAAACTTTCTCACGACTTCATACACAAATAAAATGTAGAAAAGATTTGATGGGGTCAGATGAAGCTGGATGAACCTGTCACAAAACGTATTTCTTTATGCACATGAAGCTACCTAATATTTTCTTTTATCTTTTGTAAAAGACAGTGTTAGGCTGCACTTTCTTTTTAGACGTGGAAAAAAGAAAAAATCAGACAAGGTGACGTATATAGTATACGGCACACTAAGAATAATGTCTTTATAGATGAATAAGATGAAGAAAATCTACAGCTAATGCAAAAGGCTAGCGGTTTCCAAGAGTAGTTAGTCAAATCTAATATTATCTAAAGTTAGTCTTGTTTGTTCATAGGAGCTTATATAAAGATGGTTCATTGAATAATTTGTGTAAAACGGAGCATATTGTTGTTGCCACTGAAAACTCCGATTACATAGCTATGTTTAGGGTAACAACAACCTTTGGGACCTCACTGAATGTAAAGCAGAAAAGGACATAAACAACCGTACTACTTGTTTGGAGTTTATCTCTTTTTTTGTGTCTACCTCATAATGTAGGAAGTTCTCATCCACAACAATAAAAAGACCGTTAACTTTACCAATCACCACTTAAGAAACACTTCCCTTCAGCATTTCAAATTCTCTTTTACGTCACCTTGGAAATGTCTGAATAGATTTCACTAAAAGCCTCCAACGGTAAAATATTGGCCAATTCATTTATTCAGTGCTTTGACAAAATCACTTAAACTGACAGTTTGCATTTTGAGATCTACGTACAAATTATAAAACATAATAATTATGGATATACTGTGGTATTTTCTCACAGTTGTTCATGTCTAAATACAAGTAACAAACTATGCATTTGTTTATTCAGAAATGTTGCTGTTTAATTCAAAGACACCTTGTGTAAGATTTCATCATTTCTAACTTTTGCACCTCCTGGTGGTAGTATCAAGACTGACAGTTTACAGCAAGATCATTTCATTCTTCAACAAACAAAAACCATCAGAATAATTCAAAATATGCTCTAATCCTATACAATATCTATATGTAGTAACTTAAACATTTCATAAACAGTGCTGACTCTATCTTATATAGTAGAATTATTTTCAAGCAAGGCTTTTAGATGAGTTAACCAGCGCTTTACTCTCATGCCAGCAATCACTGTGTAAGGACAGACAGACGTATATATTTAGATGGCAGATGTCTCATGTCAGAATAAAATGTACTTTGCAATGCCAGTGTTTCAAAATGTGAAGGTGCAAAGCATCAAGCATATCACTGTGTGGAGTGTTTTATCACTATTCTGGTTCTCTGTGCTAAAGTTGGCATAGCTTAGTTCAGCTGATAAGGCAATTAAAGTCACAAGGCAGACATGGACAGCACTTAAATATGGCATCTTTGAGAACTGTTTTACAAGGCAAACAAGTAGTATAATTGATCATAATAAATCTATTTCTTACTGTGGATCAACAAAATTAATTATCACAAAACAAATGTTTTCTTTTAAATCTACCCTGAGCTGTGAATTTAACTTGTGCAGATGACAAATAGCATAAAGCCACAGATAGATTTTGGCACTGAAATGACAGAATGGCACTACAGGTCGATGAACATTGACATAAAAATATTTGTCCGTTGATCACATCAAGTACTCAAGATTTAAACCCAGAGTGAATTCACTTGAATATGCTGTATATACAATCAAATACTATCTACAAATCTAAAGGAACTAGTTCATAAATATACAGAGCAAATGAAAAATGAATAATGAGTTACATGTTCAGTGCTATGCAAATGAATGCATGTTAGCTTAAACATAGGTAGTTGGGAACATTATGATTTTCCACAATACAGCAGTTATCATGTTGACATAAGGTGAGGCATGTCCACTGAGTAGGAGTGCATCTGTCCAACTCAAAGTGCTCATTTATTGCCAGCGCTGAACCCTGTCAAACCACGATAAAGACACATATCTGTTACTTTATCATGCAGTTATTCAGTTTATAACCTTGAATAAAATTCACACTGAAGGAAATAAGGATAATTCTCACCCAAAAACCGAAACCATTTGAGCTGTGGGACTAGAAATCTAGATGCCCATTAGGTGGAAGACCGCAGTGATGAGACAATCTGAGATCGGTTTTACTTATTGACTGTGGAAGGCACATGAGGATGAGGATCAGCTTAAGGATGGAACAATACAATCAGAAGTGAACATAAGTTTCATTCTCATTTTCTGGATGGACGGTTATAATCTGTAGGCAGATGTCCAGATAAAGAGCAGGTCAGAGGAAACACGAGGTTAATCATTAACACAATCACATTCTGCTGTGGCAGCAGTTCCCTAGTGGTCATTTCCCTTTAAAAAAAACAAACATCTGCTATTTCTTGGTGTGCTCACAAGAATGTGCGTGTGCAAATAGTATGTGTGTGTGTGTGTGTGTGTGTGTGTGTGTGTGTGTGTGTGTGTGTGTGTGTGTGTGTGTGTGTGTGTGTGTGTGTGTGTGTGTGTGTGTGTGAGAGAGAGTTTTTGTCTTTAATTCTTCAGTGTTTTCAATGAACCCATGTAAAGTAGGCTATCTCGTCCAGGTCCACAGGGTAGTCAGTGAGGTACATGGGGCCTTTATCAAAATGTTCCCCCTTGTAGCTTTTCCATCGTCCTGCAGGCAGGTAGATGTCCCTCTCCTGCTTTCCTGGCTGTAACACCGGAGCCACCATCAGGTCATCCCCTATCAGGAACTGAGAGTCAATCTTATAGGCTGCCTCGTCGTCATTGGCGATCCACCAGAGGGGCCTTATGATTGGGTCCCCTGTATCAAGAACCTCGCCTGCCAGTTCGAGAACCCTAGGGGCCACCAGATTCTCGTGGAGCTCTGTGAACTTCTGCGCTATCTGTACCACCTGCGGAGGAAAGCACAAAGATACAGTGGTAGCATCACACTGACAGTTTCTATTTTATTTCTGGCATCAACAAACATTAAAGGAAAGGACATACTGGAAGGTCTCGGAAGGTTGGCTTGGGTTTTCTCAACGTGATAAAATAAACACTTTTTAAAGAGAGTATTCCACAGCGAGTCTTTGAGTAGCAGAGCTCACTGTACAGTTTTTGGACTGGACAAGACAGATTTGCGTAGATTTTTTCAGACTTATAGAAGATACAATTATCCCATAAGAATTCAACTCATACTGGTTTTAATTTGTCCCCTGTAATCATTAAATTCAAGCACAGGAAATAACCTAAATTTCTTTCCAACTAATACAACACATCCACCGTTTCACTTTGCTCACCTCATTGTCATAGGCCCATGGGGGTATGGAGAACTGCATGGCAGGCATGAAAGCAGACAGCTCCAACCATCGGATGTACAGCTCTCTGTCCGGCAGACCGTTTTTGCCATCTAAACCACAACCAAAACACAATGTCAGACTGGAGACTAAAACCATATCAAATTTTAATGTGCGTCTTTAACAGAGCTCACTTTCAACTCTAAAACTCTCTGTAGCCATATGTCATGGAGTGCCATACCTGTGGTGCGGTTAGGGTATGCATTCCCTCCTATCATATCAGGTAAGACAAACTGGTATCCCAGAATGCTAATGGTCAGGACAGTCGGGATGATGGACTTTAGGCCGAGCTCATAACCCCACACAGAGTCTCTGTCTATGATCCTAAAGAAGCAGGAGATGTTCTGACTCTGGTAGCCCACCCTCAGCTCTGCACGCTCACTGAACGGTATGGCCATCTCTGTGTAGCGGCGGGTGAAGGTGGAGGGGTCGGACAATGGGACCAGGGTGCTAAACTGGCGTGGGAGGTAGCTTGTCTCTCCTGCATCAAACTTGAAGGACGTCACGTTATAGCGCTGTTTGAGCATATGCAAATGTGAAGAATACCACTCACGGGCTTCTGGGTTGGTAAAGTCTAAGATACCTCCAATGCCGTTCCACCAGCGAACGAGAGCAGGCAGCTCACCGCTCGGCTCCCGGACAAACAATCCTTTCTCCACAGCGACACCGAAATTAATGGAGTCATAGTTGATAAAAGGATGTGTCCAGAGTGAGACTTGAAAGCCCTCCTCTCTGAGTCTGTCAAACATACCGCTGGCATTGGGGAACTTCTGCGGGTCAAAGTCAAACTCTCCATAGTCTGCAGTGTAGCGGTCGTCCAGCTCCAGATGGGAGCATGTGAAGCCATGCTTGGTGATGTCAGAGGCGTAGCGCAGCAGCTTTTCCTGAGTTACAGCCGTCTTGTGGAGAGCCCATGTGGACCACAGTGGTTGTTTAAACACTTCAGGAGACGGGACCTTGACAGGCTTTGGGAAATACCGACGGACCTGACCAAAACACACGCATGCAGAGTAGAGTGTTACTACAGAGGTATTCATATCAACAGTTTTTGATTGTTCGACTTTTGTATTTTGTTCATTTAGGAAAATTTGCTTATTGGCTTTCTAGACAAGATTTGGATTAGAAGATTGAAACCACTCTCAGGCATGTGTCCATTAAATCTGAGGCTATAGTCAGTAGCCAGTTAGCTTAGCTTAGCTTAATGACTGGAAACAGGGAAGCTAGCCTGGCTCTGACGGAAGTCACTTTTCGTCAGATCAACAGTTCAAAACCCCACATAACACATAACACTGACATTATAGTAATATAAAGCAGAGAAAAGCAAATCCCTACAGTGGAGAAGCTAGAAGAGACAGTTTGATGGTTTTGATAGATAAATGATCCACTCCATCCAAAGCGGCAACTTGGCTCTGATATCTCCTGTCATCTTCACTCCAATTTGCTCTTTGTGAATTTTGTTATGATATATTACACGTTCCAAGCAGGAAAGCTGGTTCAGAATTTGGCCACACTCTGTAAGTAAGTGCATGGAAGAGAAGTGTTCCTGGTGCCATCATTGTGTGCGTATCCAAGTGCAAATGCAACAATTTCCAAATGCTGCCGACTTTGAATTTACTACTTTTAACATAGTCGTACATATACTAGCATGTTCTATAAAACTAGAAAGAAATCAACACTGCAATTGGGTGGTTGTGCTCTTACCATCAAAACAAAATACACAGTGTGTCTATACTCACCATGTATTTATGAATAGAGGTAACATCCGACCCCACGCACACTCTATAGCTGAGCTCAGGTAAAGCCGGCTGACCCTCTGGTGGTCTGAAAGGAGAGTCCTGGTATCGGGCCTGAAACCTAAGTGTCCTGTCCTTCTCTGACCAGCCCAAATGAAATGGTACTGAGTCATTAATCTTGATGGCAGTTGCATTCGAAGACAGCCAATAGCGTTCTAGGATTCCCCCAAAAGCATTCCGATTGGAGTAGATATCACTGGTGATGAAGGGCTGCGGCTCCTCCTCACCCTGGATCTTGACTGGCCAGTACTGTGTTGCTGTCTCCGCCCCTCCGTACCAATGAGAGTCATTATATGCCATGGCGTGCTCGACCAGATACTTGTTCTGCAGCTCCTCCCAACGAACTCTGTAACACATTACTGTGTCCTTGAGTCGAACCGTCTGGATAAAGAAGTTAAGCTTGCCAGAATCTGACCGAGAGCAGCTCAGAATATTTCCCTCCTTAGAGCAGGAGTCCAGATCCAGAGTGCCAGACCTGAGACAGCGCATTGACAGAGGGGAAGAAAATATAAGTGAATTTGTTAGGCACTAACTGAGCCAGTGTTATTAGCAGGAGGCTATATTTCTGCATTGCTGAAAAAATATCAAGCTCACCGAAATGACAGTGAATCATCATATTGCATGTTATTATATAGAATACAATATCTTATATTCTGTTATACCATTTTATATTATATTGCTCTAATTCTTTGCATGTGCAGGGATTGTATTATGGGTAGTTCTGTCGATGTGAGCTACAAGGTTACAAGGTTATTGTTAGCCAAGACTTACTGGCTGTTAGTTTCACAAGTAAAGTTTTATTACAGGAATGCACTGGATTGCATTACAGTGTACAAATGTACTATTTTTCTGGTCACTCTCTAAAGTGCATCACCAGGATCATCCTAATCACATACATATTACAATTTCCTTACTGAGAGACAGAAAATTAATCTGCAGCTATTTTGATAATATAAATTACTCATTTGAGTCACTTTCCAAACAGAAAATGCCAAAGATTCTCTGGTACAAGCCTTAAATCTGAGAATTTTCTATCTTACCATAAATACGTTCAGGTTTTGGACTGTTAGACAAGGAGCAATGTGAAGGTGTCGCCTCAGTCACTGGAAAACTGTGATGGGTATTTGTCTTTTTTTTTACATTTTATAGACGAAAGGATACACCAAGACTATAATGAGCAGCTTAATCAATAATATAAATAATCTCTATCTACACTAAACCCACCTGAAGGTCATACTGAAGATGACAGCTCCCGCCTGGTTATGAATGATAAAACCATCCTTGTTGAGGTCCAGCAGCTCAGCCTTCAGCAGCTGGGCTTTACGGAGGGACGCAGAGTAGTAGCACCAGGCAACCACAGAAGCCAGCACCAACACACAGCCCAACACGGCTGCCATCACCAGAGGCCGGCCTTCATGAGCCAGCTTCTTCTTTAGTGGAGAACCACCAGCTCCCCCAGCCGTCTGCTGCTCCCCAGGAGCCACCGGGACGATCTGATACATGCTGAAGACTTTGGCAGTGAAGTGTGTAGGGAAGCAGGTTTGGAGGAGTGGCAGGAGTAGACAGCTGTGGTGAATTTGCTGTCCAGTGCTGATGAAAATGTCTGGAATGTATCTTGGATGTCTACCTGCCGATCTTCAGTAATGTCTTCATTTCTGAACGAGGGCTGATTTGTACAAACCTGCAGACAGACACAGATCAACAGTCAGGTATGGCACAGCTCGTAAAACCAAAAGAAATTAGCCCACACAGATATCTTCATATCACACACTGATCAACTTAAATTCCCTAAATGGGAGAATAAATAAACTGTGTATATCCAAGCAACAAAGTGATATATTGAGATACGTTCTAGTTCAATTCCACATCATCAGAGGGGGGAGGCATACAAATCCAGTGTTGGTCTATTGTAAGCGCTATCACACAGGGCATTTGCTTGACAATCCAGTTTATTTTGGAACCAATTATCAAGACTGACGGTCTCCAGGAACTATAGTTATAAATAGCTTTGGAGCTATTCACACTGCATGTGATTAAAGACATATATCACTCTCCCTCTGTGTCCTAATATTCTCATAAAAACATGTATTGCACAATGACTGTGACCAAATGGGTCTGTAGGAATGCTATGTGTGTACCAGCACTACACCACACTAGTGCACTCTCTGTGTAAGTCTCTCCAGTAAAGCTTCATGTTACTGTACTGCTTGCACTTGCGGCCATGTGCAGCATAGTTCAGCAGCAGCAGCAGCAGCAGCAGCAGAAGTTTCCAGCAGAGAGAAAGAGAGAGAGTGCACAGAAGCAGTACTCCGGTAAATGGTAGGAAGCCATGCTCTGTAGCTGCGTAGAGACTGGTGGCAACAAAACCAATGACACCATAAAAACAGGCTGTGATCAGAGAAAGTACAGACACCTTGTCAGCATGGTTGAATTACATTTATCTCTCAGTAAGAGCACCTTGGACGTGAGTAAATAATATTTAAGAGTAGCAGCCCTCAAATAACTGTGCTGCAGCACACCTACAGTTTTCAGATGGAGCCTAGAACCATATTTAACCCCCCATAGGTATCATTATGTTCGAGCGCAACACAGTTATTTTATTCTGGTGAAGGTTAGTGGCAGTGCAGCAGGGAGGGAAGTAAACCTCCAAATACATACCCTGCAAAAACTGGGTCCCTGCACAGACAGACTATTGTGTGACATGTCTTCCTCTATTTAGCCAGTTTACACAAGCCAAGCAAGTCTGTATGTACAGTTACAGACAAAACTGCGCCATCCGTTAACAGGATCAATCATAATTTTGATTATTTCTGTACTTCATACCAAATGCTATAACTTAACTCTGCTTTACTTCTGCTAGCTTCAGAGTTCCCACCCTGCCATGGCATGATTGGATCAATTCTAACTTGGTTTGTTGTGTTAATAAATCAATTGTTTTTGCAGCAGAAGCATTTCAATACCACACTGTGTTGTTAGAGTCTCTGCTGCTTTTAAAGGGAACTCTCTTCTATCATACATAAACTATAAACTAAGATTTTATGAATTCATGGCTCAAAATGGGAGCTAATGTGGCATTCTTCAGATCATTTAAAGTCCATGTAAATTAGCCTCCAAACTTAGACCAGACGTGTCATTTTGCTGGTTTTGTTAATCAAATGCATGCAATGCAAAGTAAACCCACTAACCCCAGTTGGCATAAAAACAGAAACACACTTACTCCATAGTGATTGTTAATTGTTTTGTGTTCACATTAACCTCAGACCATTCACTGAAATGACCACAGTGAACACGAACAGCGCCTCGACATTATGTTTATGTCATTTTCTAACAAGAGTGTCAAGGTGACACATATGGTTAACTAACCGAACAAACGATTCCGATGTGCCAGTGACTGATCGATAACCCAGAGGCACCCGTCGACACGACTGTTGACGCTGTATGGGGTCATTACAGCGACACGGTGACCGGCTGGACCAGTTGTCACGAACCGGGTTTCAAAACGGTGGTGTTCACGGTTCACACGGGCTTTGTTGGCTATGTCAACAGCACACGAATAAGTTTCAGAAAACACATTCAAAGTGTCATTCATGGCGTTGTGGTGTTTAAAAAAGAGAGAGAGAGAGAGCTTACCTCTGCATTGTGTACAGCTGTGAGCGCAGTAGCTCACTGCGCAGCTGCAGAGCGGTCTGAAGTTCGATGGCCCCGCCCACCAACGAACGAGAGAGAAGCGGATTCGTTCAGGGTTCTGTCACTCATTCGCTAAAACCTTCCAGTGGGCTTCTGGGAAATGTAGTGCGAGAATAACAGAGTTTGTTCCAAAAAAACACTAACATAAATCTACAAGAGCTTTTAAGACTGTTTCTTCGAAGCAACGGAGATATGAAATGGACATCCTAATGTTAACTATTATTACTTTATTTTGAAATTATCGCCTCTGTTGCGTGCAGCCGTTGCCCATGGAAACAGTTCAAATATAAATTACAATTCGTGGAATTTATTCTTTTTTAGGTTTTTATTTCCTGCAACAAAAAAAAGAAATGCGGATATAGCGTTGTGTTATTTAACATTAGTTGCCCCTTTTTCATGATTAACCTGCTTGTCTTTGACGTCGTTGAAGGAGCAGGGTTGCACAACAGTCCTGAACAAACAACAAGAGGTGAGATCATCCAGAGCAAATAGTTAATAACTGTTGTTGTGATTGGGACATGCTTTCGACAGCAGGTGGCAGCAACGAGCTATATACAGAAATGTAAATGACAGGATTGTAGAGCAAGCAGTCGGCTTATATAATTATTATATTATTATTTGGCAATGCAGATATTGTTGTTGTTCTTGTTCCAGTTGGTTAGTAGTGCCAACAATACAGTACTGTGGGTTTGTTAGTAGTTCCCCTTATTACTGTTTGTTGTTGTTTTTCATTCATCAATGGTGGTGGCCCCATTGGTGGCTGAATTTAATATCTAACTGAAGCAATAGTAGTAACGTTAGTACAGTTATCTATAACAAGTGACTGAATGCTGGTAGCACCCATATGGTAGCATTTGTAGTAGTATTAGCAGAAGTAGCAACTGAGGTTAAATCATGTAGGTACTGTAAACAAAAGAATGTGTGTAGAAGAAGCAGAATATGGGGAATTTGCAGTGGCAGCCAAAGCAGGGTTTCCAGTTGTGTAAAGTGGGCCATTGCCGCCAGGCCACACAGCATCAGGGGGCCCAAAAGTCCCAGGTTGGTTTCCTGACAGTTGGTAATTTAATAACGGCAATTATGTTGGGGAATTTGCAACTCCACCGAACATTAAATAATGATTTATTCTTGTTTATATTGGGCTAACATGGTCAGAATTTAAACAGTTATCTGGTTTATTGATCAACAGAATAATCAGCAAGTATTCTGAATTAATCAGTTAAAAAAAAAAAAAAATTGAAATTGAAATGCCAAACATTTATTATTTTCAGTATCTCAGTTGTCATATGTGATAGAAAACTGAATAGTTTTGGACCATTAATCAGACAGAACAAGCGATCTGAAGATGTCTCGTTGGGCATGAGCACCTTTTCTTTAGCAATTAATCAAATAATCACAAGATTAAAAAAGCAGATCAATCAATATTATTATTAATAACAATTGTTTGTTTCAGGCCTAAACATGGAGCACATTTCTTAATAAATTGGTGTTAAATGAAATAACCACAACTAAATTGACAGAAAACACTATACTATATATTCTATCTTGCCCCAGAACATAGACCCAACAATAGGTTATCAAACAATGCAAATTATAGCCTGATGACAAAAGGAGAAATGGGAGTGATGGGAGTAACACTAGAACTTGTGGTTCCAGTACTAACAGTAACAGTACCGGTTGCTGTAAGACTGTACGAGTGGTGATAATGTTTGCAGTAATTGTAATAGTGTTGTTTGTAGCAGCAATAATATTTAGCAACTCTCTTTCAGACCCTGCACTGACTGAAAACTCCCAGCATTCAAAGTGACTCATCCTGATGTGCAGGAGGTTGAAATGCTGCTGGTGTTGGTGTCCCTGCTCGGCTGCGTCCCTGCAGCCAAGGCCTGTCTGCAGTGTGACCGCAAGATCAGGCTCCTATTCGAGGACTTAATCCTGTCTGCTCCCACTATGGTCGACCAGATTGAAATCAAAAAGATTCGTGACCATGCCTATGTGACCTACAGGGAGACCAGCCGGGAACGAAAGGGAGTCGTTGGTGAGACACAAGACCTGGTTTAGGATGTTGTGACACGACATTAGTGTGGAATATACTGATAATTCATGTAAAGCCACTTATATCTCATATGTTTTCTCTTATTTTCATTTAATTTTACTAAAATAATGTCAGGCTGTTTTTTTGGGTCTGGTGATTGAAGCATTTACTAATAAGGGCTTCATTTTGTTCTGGATAAGGGAGATGCCTAAACTAAATATACTTTCTGTTTCACATTGCTCAGATCCCACCACTCTGTACAGAGCCAGAACTGAGTACCAGAGTGAATTTGATCGCTTCTTGAAAACCCAGCATACTGGTGAGAAACAACAAAAATAATTTATCCTGACTATTTATTCCAAATGAAGACACAGTAGCTGGTTGCTGTAGAAAAACACTCATTACAATTACTCCCTTGTAGCGTCACTAAATGTATTTACAGTTATCATAACAAACTCAATGTCCACCAGATTGTGAGACAAAGTCTGCTCTTTTTTTTAAGGATCTGCAACATTTGAAGCCATTCAGATCATGGAGAAGGGCAGGAAGATCTTAGAGAAACACTTGGACACATTCATCCATGACGGTAATTGGCATAAATAACATGTTCTGCACAGTATGAGGCAGGGCACTTAGTGCAAGTCATTGTTGTGTAGGAGATGCATTAGTTTCAGATCATTTGTTTGTCTCTCCCTCAGGATTGTGCCCTAACAAGTGTGGTAAGTTTGTCTGATCCCTCCCTCTGTATCTATGTAAAACCTTGTAGAAGCACAATGTGTACATATTATATATTCAGTACATTTACACGTGTTTGTGTGTGTGTGTGTGTGTGTGTGTGTGTGTGTGTGTGTGTGTGTGTGTGTGTGTGTGTGTGTGTGGTATGGTTTTCAGGGCTTTTGAAACGAAGAGTAATGGATTGCTTCTCTTGCCGCTATAAGATATACATCTGTCCCTCTCCCTCTGGTCAGCAGGATTGTGGTGGTATATTTTCATTCGTTCCTTTGCGTGTATGTGTATGCATGTTGTTTGTGAGTGGATGAGAGCTGGTCATACCTATATAATGGGAGTACATGCTGTCACGAGTGTGTAAATGTGTTCCTAAGCGAGGCACTGCTGCTGCCTGTCCATGTGCAGAGCTAATGAAAAAGATTATTCAAGTAATCCTGATGTAAATGAATGAAGCATCTCTCTTTTTCTCTCCTCTCCTCTCCTCTCCTCTCTTTTGTCTAGAGCACCCAGTGCCGGTTGAGGAGGGAGGCCAGGCAGTGTTGAACTGTTTCCTCCCATGGCATCCCCTTCTGATGGAAAGACCAGAATACCACTACTCATGGGCCCCTGGTGTGCCAGGAACTAAAAAGGTCTCTCTGACATCAGACACATAAGTAGTAGCTTAGCACTTCCCACTTTTGAACCTCTTTTGCCTGCTTCCTGATTTCCACGTATTACGCTGAGTCCCTTATTTAGCCATACAGTATCATCATGAATGTGTATATTTACCACCAGCTATTACACCCACTGAACTATCACTATCACTTCCTAATTTGTATGTGCAGATGAATGAGAGTGACTTCAAAGTCTTGGTAGTGACAGACGATTCATCTGTGGTCTTAAATCAGCTGCATGTGGATGAACAGGGAACGTATCGCTGCTCTCTGCAGGGCCGAAACGGAGGAACCGTTTTCTACCGAGTCACTTTCCTACTCACTGGTAGAGTACAGCTCTTAAATACGTCACCACAGACATTTTGTCAGATAGTATCCACGTCTGAAAGGGCAAAAGGCGACATCACATCTGAGTTAACGACTTTTGAACTGTAAGTTTCCACTTAAGAGAAGAAACACCAACATTTGTCACTTCTAAAGATATGGAACTGAATAAAATGAAATAAATAAATACAATTTAAAATCTGTAAAATGTTTCTGCTGTAAAACTGTATAATGTGACAAATGTCTCCGTTTTAGGTATTTTTTCGGTATAAATCTTAGTTTTCAGGTCCAGGGGTATATTAAAGGATATCCAAGAGGCCTCAAGCCAAATTAGAAATACAGCACTTAATTTTAAAAGAAATCAATTCACTACTACAACTCATGTACTTTGAAACCATTTCAGTTTTGTAAGGCTTATAATTTGTTACCCAGTGTGTTTGTGTCTGTGGGGTGGATTCAGGGTGTGTCAATTTCTTTAAGAGGGCGGGTGGTTTTTCTCTCATCTTATGTTGCTGTGTGGGCTTTCTTGTACTTTATTTAGTGTATTCTTCCATACATGTTCCATACATGTAATGTGTCCCCCACTGTCCCACACAAACATAGTCTTTGTCCCCCATTTGGTTTGTTGGGATCTGGTCACCCTGGCTATACTGTAAATATATACTGTAAACAAAATTGCCTTATAAAATAAGAAAACTACTTCTAAAAAAAGTGGTTTCATTCTCCCTACTAGTCCCTAATGCCTACAGTTCCAACAGTAACCTGCTACATTATTAAAATAAATCTTAAATATGAGGATCCCTTCACTTCTTCCCCGGAGTTCTTGTGCTTTCTCGTCTCGCAGGTTCTTATCGATCCTGGTGGAGCCTCCTGCCATGGTCCTGCTAGATTGCCATTACCAATACTGTTGTTGCTGTGCACCTGTCTGTCTCTCTCTCTCTCTCTCTCTCTCTCTCTCTCTCTCTCTCTCTCTGTCTCTGTCTGTCTGTCTGTCTCTCTCTCTCTCTCTCTCTCTCTCTCTCTCTCTCTCTCTCTCTCTCTCTCTCTCTCTCTCTCACCCCGACTGGTCGAGGCAGACAACCACCCACCTAGAGCCGAAGGATCTGTCCTAGGTTTCTGCCTTTTAACAGGCAGTTTTTCCTTGCCCTTGTCGCCAAGTGCTTGCTCATGGTGGTACTGTTGGGTCTCTGTAAATAATGTTTTAAAGAGTTCGGTCTAGACCTGCTCTATTTGAAAAGTGTCCTGAGATAACTTCTGTTATGAATTGGCTCTATACAAATAAAATTGAATTGAACTGAATTGAATCCCTAAGAGAAAACCTTTTGTAAAGGGAGTCTACAGCCTACTGTGTGTTTGTTTGGAGGTTGGTTTTGGTGCAAAATCATGTGAAAACCCCTGCTCATAGTTAGATTACTGTACAACTCTATTAATGCACCTGTGTGTCGTCCTCCCTCACAGTTGCCCCTTTCCCTGACCAAACTCACCGACCCATCATCACTCTGCCGCCCCTGCCTGATGGAGACAACTACTCACCTTTTCAACCCACCGAGGGCCTGCTGGTGCCAGTGATCGCCATGGTTACTGCTTTGAGTCTGGCAGCGAGCGTAGGCCTCACAGTTGTCCTGGGGTGAGAGACAGTAAGTGGGTGGAGGGCATGAAAAGAGAGAGCACGAGAGGTTCAGCAGGAAGGGTGGAGGTGAAAGAGGTGACACGGAACAGTCAGAGCAAGTGACTAACTAAATGATACAATGATACCAGACGGTGTAGTCACATAGTTCGAGGATTTAATCATGTTTTACTAGACTTAGGTTTATGTCATATAAAGATACAATAGATTTATAAATAGGTTCATTATTTACAATTGAAACAATGATGCCATTAAGTTGTTTTTCTCTGAAAGTATCATCAGTTCTTCCAGGAAGTCATGTTAGTTACCGAAGAGCAAAAATCAAGAAGTGTTGACTTAGATTTTAACACACATAAAGGTCACACAATAGGCAGGTTTTTCTGTTATTTATAGCTCAATGTTTGTGTTCATTAGGGATTACTGTGTTTGTGATCTTTATAGACTGATGATAATACAGAGGAGAGCCACGAAGAAGCCAAGAAAAAGGAAAGAGGAAAAAACCACACAAAGCATGGTGTAATGAAGATACTGTGTACAGTAAATAGACACAGGGAAGTTTTACATTGCTCTCAGTAATGTAATAAATTTTCCTAGCACAAAGTGCCAAGTCATGTCTAGGAATAACATGGAGGTGAGAAAATGTATGATTAACACGCAAATAGGGTGTGTTGATATTTTTGCTTATTTTTTGAACATTGAAAAAAAAATTGTCGATGTGAATCTTGGTGAATCAAATACTGAGCTCTCCCTCATAAAACAGAAAGTTTGTGGTGTAATAAAACCAGAGCGTACAACACACACACACACAAACACCCACTTAAACACATGCACAAAAAAATCCCCCAGAAACCACTCAACTTTCCGTAACATTAAGCAGCGGCGAGCCAGAACACATCAATGATCTGACCCCAGCAGGGACACGTTTCCCCTGAATGGAGTGATGGCGTTGTCACGTGGGCGTTTATGAGAGGAATCAGGGATGAGGTAAATCTCCCGGATTACAGTGTTTTTCAGAGATTAATAGCCCCAGCTATCCAATTAATCCTGGATAATCCCCTGTGGCAGGAGGGGGAGAGACGTAGAGGGGTACAAGCTAGCAGCAGATGTTTTCATCAGGGTTTCTTTTAGGGTTTATTTACTCATTTATTCATTCAGAGCGTCTGAGTAAGGGCAAACTTTTGCATTACTAATAATGTTCTTATAATTTTGAAGTCATTGTTTTCTTACAACACAATCACCAGACATTGTAATTCTCTGTTCGTCTTGTCTGCCTACAGTCTGGGCATTTTGATGACAAGCTGCTTCTGTTCACATAAGTTCTATCACAATCTCCACCACCTCCTCACCTTCAGGTGGTATGTCATATTTCCGATCACTGCTTCCTTAGAACTACAACAAATTCGCACCAACCTCTCAGCAATGTGTCACCCAAGATGTTTTCTTGGCTAATTATTTGACAGTCTCATTTGCTAACACAGGAAAGATAATGAAACATTTGAACCAAATGAAAATGAAAGTAAGCGATTGATTATGTATGAGTCAACGCGTCCAGGAGTTAGGTAACAAAGTTATCTCTGAAATCATTAATCACTGCTCAGGTTTTTTAGGGATTTTTCAGACTCAACTTCCTGAATCATGCATCAGTTTAGGCTATGAGCTATGACATAGGTTGTAATGATGCAATATGAGGGTGTGTGTGTTTGGATGCTGAGGCCTGCATGGATGGTGACAGGATGTGTTTGTGCGGGGCTGTTTCCGGTCGGACCGCTAAGATGGGGGCGAATGTTGAAAAAAGAAAACCCTCTTTTAAGACACCCACCATACAGAGACACACACGTCACAGTCATCCACCTCAACAGACTCACTTCACTGTGGGTTTATATGTGTGTGTTCAAGCCTAAAGTGCATGTTGAGGCTACAGTAAATGCATGCTCAGCGGCTCTACTGACAGCCATGATGAACTGTGTACCAAAGTGTGTGAGTGTGTGTGTTTGGACTGCTGTGGATTGAAATTGCAGCCTCAGCAGGGAGAGAGCATGACAGAGTGGGAGTGCTGCTGAGGGACCAGCAGGCATGTGTGAGGGAGGGGGAGAAGGGAAGTGGGAACATGAAGAAAGTGGAGTTAGAGGTTTGTGTGGGAGATGTGTGTGGGAAGGTGATTTAAATGTGGGTTATGAGGAAATGAAGACAAAGACGTCAGATTACATCTTATAGTATAAATAAATACCACACTGCACATAAAGTATACTTTTCTGTGTTTAACAATGCATTGGCTGTGCTCTATCCAGGGGCGGAAAAGATATCAACAATATCCTAGTGAGTTAGAATTACTGGTGTTTGACTTTAATTAGAATTGAGAGGACTTGTATTGAAAACTTCTCACATAAAAAACAAAAAAAGACTACTCTTGTGATGTACTTAAAGCCCCTTAAACCAGGTATTTCTCTACAATTAAATATTTACAACTCAATAAGCAGCAACAAAGTTCAACACTCAAAAATGAATCTGCCTTATAAAGAATGTGTGGGTATGGTTGGATCACACTGACTGACTCACTGTCATCAACTCATTTTGATTTAAATATTACTAAATCCTGACTGGAACACAGAAATATGTAACATCCCAACTGAGTCCCGTCTGTAGAACCAGTAAGAAGATGACAGACAAATACACAAATACATAAATTACTCATGTAAAATAACATAAACTGTAGTCACATAGTTTGAGGATTCAAGGATGTTTTATGAGGCTTAGGTTTATTAATTTATAAATGGGTTCATTATTTACAATCGAAACAATGACGCCATTAAGTTGTTTTTCTCTGAAAGTATCATCAGTTCTTCCAGGAAGTCATGTTAGTTACTAAAGAGCAAAAATCAAGAAGTGTTGACTTAGATTTTAACACACATAAAGGTCACACAATATTTCTGTTATTTATAGCTCAATGTTTATGTTCATTAGGGATTACTGTGTTTGTGATCTTCATAGACTGATGATAATTCAGAGGAGAGCCACGACGACGCCGAGAAGAAGTAGGGAGGAAAAAAACCACACAAAACTATGGTGTGATGAAGATACTGTGTACAGTAAATAGACACAGGGAGGTTTTACATTTCTCTCAGTAACTGAATACATTTTCCCAGCACAAAGTGCAAAGACATCACGTTTTCCCAACTGAGTGCCGCCTGTAGAACTAGTAAGAAGATGACACAAACACAGAAATTACTCATGTAAAATAACGTAAACTGTTCTAACTTACTGTACCCCGATACTCAGAGCAAGAAACTGAGAAAATATGTTTTCAGGGACTTTAAGGTCACCAAGAAAGAGCCAACACATCCTGTCTGTAACCTCAACATCAACATCCACTCACCCTCCCATCTGATTCATTACTGCCTTACAAATGCCTTTGTAGTGCGTAGGATTAAATATTTAACATTATTAATGTGAAAATAAATTGTCTTTTGGGTTTAATAGTGAGCTGTGACCATTTTTCTTTATTATAAAGGTTTCTAACAAATTGCCTTAAACTTAAATGGAATATTTTTCTTATTTTTGACAGCACAAAAAACAAAACTAATAATAAATCCATCCCACTAACAAGTATTGTCTATATAGCTCTTATCTCTTATCTGTGCCAAAGACCTCTATTGTGGTCTATGAACTATTAAAAATACATCGATGAGCCACGTTGTGATGAACAAAGGCACTGTAGTTTATTTTGAGTCAATCCCACAATGGAAATTACTGAGCCTTTTTTTAAAAAAATTGAAGTATTCATTAGTGTCTTGTTTTTAAAGACTACAATAACACTGTGGTGGTTTTGGTCTGTTCAGGGGATTTCTTTGAGAATTGCATAAAATATAAAATATCACCAGCCTGATCCTTTGAGTTGAATTAAAATGTACTCAAAGTGTATGAAAATAAAATTCAGCTACAGTTATGGGACTATTTTTAGTAAGCCCAAAATAAAATGATTGGTGAATTAAAACCATGTAATCAATAACTGGGACAGGCCTGAATCTTCATAAACTGAGAAGTAAGAACCACTAGATGCATCTGTGATAGATGTTTGGGGGGGGGTTACAGTGTAATAGACTACAATGTAATAGAGAAGAAAGATACAGATGCTCTAGGTTTCCCAGCAGAGCAGAAATAAGAAATAAAATAATTTTATCAGTGCAACAATTTATAAAGTACAAAAAAAAAATAGCAACATGCAGAACACAGAAATTAAAGCCTTGAGGGAAAGTGTGTGGCTCTGGTCTGCAGTGGTGCAGTGGACTAGAGAAGCACCAACATCTCACCCAAATAACAAAACGTCACACTCTTTCCCCTGAGCGAGGACCGCGCGGCCAGGGTTGGGTTGTAGCTCTCGACATTACGTCATTCAGCACAAAAACACGGGATAACCCCAAACGACCACGTGCGCGGTAGGAAAATCGGGTTTGACGTCATTCATATGAAGAGCGCCGGGCAGGCCATATATGGTCGTCTCGCCTCTGACGTTGTTCCTTCTGTGGAAAAAAAAAAGGGCGGGTCCGCGGTGGCCGCGCCCCTCTCCCAGCTGTTATCAATGAACAAGTGAAACTCTCAATCTAAAGCTGATTTTAACTGACACGGCGAGCAGTTCCGCTCTCCAGATACACTTAAAGTAGATTTTAAAACCATCTCCAAAAGTACTTTAAAAACTTTTTTTTTTATAAATAACACTTTGCAGCCATGACGTCTAGCAGTGAGCCTTTAGAGATAACTGGCAATGAGCTGGTTCACATATTGAGGACCCCCCGGGACCAGTACACCTCTGCTGGGTGTGTGGTGCTGGACTGCAGGCCTTTCCTCGATTTTTCTTTCGCGCATCTTTTCGAGTCCCGAAACGTCAACTGGAACTCAATGCTGCGCCGCAGGTCCAAGAGCTCAGCGGTGGCTCTGGAGTGGCTCATCGGGGACAAGGCGCTCCTGGGCCGGCTGCGACGCGGGGAGTTCTCCCCGGTGGTGGTGGTGGATGAGAGCAGCCGCTCCGTGGCCGAGCTGAAGGCGGAGAGCGTGGCCCAGATGCTGCTCACCGCCCTGCACAACGAAGTTCAGACGCAGATCTGCTTTCTACAAGGTAATAAAAGTGAACACGTTTAGTATTTTAGGCTGAAATTGAGTTTTTGACTTTGCAAGAACAAAAACAAAAATGTGCTACTAATTTGTACTAGAAATAGCCTAACAAATATATTATTAACTAAAATATGTTTAGGTATAAGAGTGTAACTTGTTTCTAAATGTAAAAATCTCCATAATCAACCCTAAAGGATAAACAAACTTATTTAAAAAAAGAAGTGTATAGACAGGTTGACTTTTTTAATGTTTACCACATCATTATTATTGTTCCACACAACACATTTTAAGGAGGACTTCAGTGAAAGCTTGCGGCTTAACTAATACTGTGACCTCCTTTTAGGTGGATTTGAGGGATTTTCAGAGGCCTATCCAGAGCTCTGTTTCAGCTCTGCCAGCAGTCACCTCTCTACAGTGGAACCAGAGCCAATAGTGACAGGTCGTAGGACACCAGCATATGATCAGGTAAGATCAAATTCACTTGTATAAGAGCTAATAGATCATATACAATGTAATATGACTTAAATGGAAGAGTTTGTATCCAACCTCTCCCTAAGCAATGGAAACATATATGACTCCATAGTGATTATTGTTGGTTTTGTTAATTGCAGGATGGTCCAGTGGAGCTGCTCCCCTTCCTGTTTCTGGGCAGTGCCATCCACTCCTCCCGCAGAGAGACCCTCACAGCAGCGGGCATTACAGCTGTGCTCAACGTTTCCTCTACGTGCCCCAACTTCTATGAGGGGGAGTTTCAGTACCTGCGCCTCACTGTGGAGGACAGCCTAGCTGCTGACATCAGAGCCTGCTTCTCCACCGCCATTGCCTTCATCGGTGAGTCTCTCATCCAAACATCCATAGCTCCCAACCTGTGTACAGTGGCAGCCTGAGAGCAAAGTTCATTGTGCTCACTGTAAGTTAGTAAACACACAGTGAATTAGTCTCGTCTTGGTTAAGTAAGCCAATGTTTTACACTCTTGAAGAAGTAGAAAGTATCCAAAAAATGTCTTTAAGCAGCTTGTACGCGATAATCCATCTTGTGTTGTAGACTTATGAACCAACGGAGTAATCGTCTCATTGCAAAACAGCTGCATTATGCTGCACTAGCTGCAGAACAGAACATTTAAATTAGTTATTTTGCTGGTTTTGACCCCTTTTTTTTTTTTTTTTTACATCAAAGTTCAGCACTTATAGGAACTAACTGTGATTGAATTTGCATTAGCATGGTGAATAGATTGTTCCTCCAGTCAAACAGTTTAAAGCTTCCTTTGTATTGCTGCTTGTAAAACGCTCTCAGTGATGTCAAAGAAACTCATGTGCAATGGAGCGCAATATGCTGATCTCTCTTCCTCTTTCCGTCTTGTCTTTTCCGTTCCGCCTACAGACTCGGTGAAGCAGGGTGGTGGTCGGGTGCTGGTGCATTGCCAGGCAGGTATCTCTCGCTCTGCCACCATCTGTCTGGCCTACCTGATGCACACGCAGCGCGTCAAGCTGGATGAGGCCTTTGACTTTGTGAAGCAGCGGCGTCAGGTCATCTCCCCCAACCTGGCCTTCATGGGACAGCTTCTGCAGTTTGAGACCGACGTTCTCTGTCAGGGTTGAAGGTGCAGACACATTAAGAGGAAGGAAACTGACACGACTGTACTAAATGTATTAATTCCCTTGCTTCTTGGCACTAAGCTGGACATTATCAGGACTTTATCAGTGTTTGTACAAATATACTGTTTGTGCTATTGAAACTAGTACATTTCAGAGTATACTTTGTACGTTCAGGGAAAAGCTACTTGTGCTGCTGGCATCACATAGCTGGGGATCTCCTATTTTCAGGAGAAACTGACACCAAACTGCCGTTGGCATTATATAACTCCACTGTTATAACTACATTATGAACAATTGTGATTCTGAGCCAGCACGTTGGAGCAGCTATGAGGTCATTTCCCTGGCATTTCATGCTTAAGGGGAATCATGCCTGCTCATCTGTTTTTGTGTGTGTCTGTGTTATTTCGTTTGACTTATGTGCCTGATCTTTTGCAAGGGCTGTCTTATTTTCATACTGAAAGTCATTCCTGCGCAGTTACGACCACTGTGATCCGACACATCTTTTTATGAGACAACACTGTGTAAACTATTTAAGGCAATACTGGATGAATCTCACATTTCAGTGTCGTCTAATTTATAAAACTACAGTTGGTGTCTAATCATAAGTCTAATCATTCTGTATCGTCAGACATATTACATGTTGTACACTCACACTGGAAGTTGTTTTTATGATGTAAATAGAGTTTTATTTTTTATTTATTTGAACATTTGTTAAGACAGTGTTTGCATTATTACTGTCTGTTACTGCACTTTATACTTACAAGGTTTGGCCTGCTGTTTTTCCCACTAAAATAAAAACATGCTGGAGAGAACAATGAGTCTGTTTACTCTGTATAATGTCCTTTTTTCATTCATACTGTGGCTCACATTTCAAGGCTTATATCCAGAAAGATATAGTTAATACATAATTTTTATTTATATAGCATCTTTAAAAAACAAAACAAAGTTATAAAGTGCTTTATAATAAAAGCAATGAGCTCCAGAATTTACAATACAAACAAGATTAAATACGTTACGGTAAATACCATCAGTTAAGAAAAAGCCAAACAATAAAATGGAGTCTTTAGAAGAGATTTAAAAGAGGATGCAGAGTTTGCCTCCCTAAGATCACCAGGCAGGGAGTTCCACAGCTGAGAGGACAGCAAAAGTCAGGTCACCTTTGGTCCCTGCTAGAGGATTTTGAGCAGCGATCAAGCTTGTTGGAGTTTAGTGAATCATCTATATAGTCCGGCTCCAGCTCTCCAGACAGGCGCAGTAATCTCAGACCAGTCAGCCCTGAGTGTGTTGCAGTCTCTTCACAGAACACATTACAAATGCATTTTCACACACTGACCTTGCTGCACTCCATTCGCTCTCACTAAACCAGATGGTATTAAACCCATGTTCTGCTGAGTATTTTGGAGGATTATCCACAGAGAATGGGTTTTACAGTATGAAGTCCCTCTGACCTCATCAACCACTGACATAAATTTCACATCCACTTCTTCAAGTTGTGAGAAAAACCTTGGACATTTGTTACAAGGACTTTTTTTTTAAAACAATGAAAGTATATTTGCAAGAAAGCCATAAAAGGCATTTTTAATGAGGAAGTGAGGAAAGTCCATATCACTAATTGTGTTATATTTGTGAAACTTTGATCCAATGACAACTGAAAAACTATTTTTTATTATTATCATTTAACTCCATAAACACAAATTATACATTAACGTTACATACTGCATATTTCTTTACTGATCTACTGTTTTTTACACTGACCGTTGTGATCAACTGTTTGTCTTTGTTGGTCACAAAAATATTAGACACAGTTCATGTACCTCGTTTTGTCTTGGATAAAGGTCTCCTCTCCATGAATTCCCTCCCAATCCACAGCCATTCATTGTATTTTGAAAGTTGAACTGTTAAATAATGTCAAATAGGCATAAATGATAAACAACTACCACTAATAAAGACAAGCTCCCACCACTTCCTCACCCCCAAGCTAATTATGCCACCCACAGTCTTTTTTCGGCCATAACTAAAATAATCCACTTCCTCTCATTTGCAAGTATCCACTGCCTAGCATCTACGTAAGCACGCTGTTACGCTTGACTTCTTCCTTCCATGAGCCACAGTTTTCCAGGCAGAGGACAGAGAAATGCACCTCGGAGATTTCAGGTGTTGATTAAGACTGGGAGCTCACTAAACTGAAAGTGAAAAATAACATTTGTTCTTCTTTCTGTTTATTTACATTTTCATAGTCACTTTCAATTCAAATTACTATATTAAGTATATACATCTAACAAACTGTAGCCTCTAGCCTCTTGAGTCACCCTTTTAGGTTCCATTTCCACCGTAGTTTTGCAATCTGCCGCATCACAGATAGATGCCACTAAATCCTACACACTGGTCCTTTAAGGGAGATATATAGCCTAACTGATAGGGGTTGTTTTAGTGCATGACATTACTGTAGACTGTACAGGTGGTCAGTGTTTGAAAGAACATTTACTTAAGAACAATTTTGAGGTATTTTTACCTGAATATATCCATTTTATGCTACTTTATACTCCATTGATGTGATAGCTATACTTACCAGTTACTTTTCAGATTAAGATTTTACATATACAAATGTATGATAACCTATAAAACCTACAAAATACAATACAGAGTAAATCCCCATATTTTATTTATCTCATTCCATTTTTCTTTTTTATCTCATCTTATATTATCTTTATATGACTTGTGTTGTTATTGCAACTAATGCTTTTGCTGCTGAGCTCACTGTTCCCGTCCAACACATCTTATTGTATCGTTGACCCAGTGTTAACCTACATACGACTAAAATCTGAACTGAATTAATGATCAAACCTGTGGTTTCCAACCTTTCTGGCTTGTGTCCACTTTATTAAAAAGCTCTATTTGGGGGCTTTATCACATTTCAGATATCTCTGAGTTGTTAGCAGTCCACCAAAGAGACATTTCTCCTCTCAACAGTTGTTTCATTGAAATAATTGTTAGAGCCCAAAAGCAAAAGATTAGAGGAAAAGAAGAAAAGATTAAAGAAAAGTTTAATTACAAATCCATGTAGCCAGATTTGTCTTTGTCTTGCCTCTAACCTTAGGTTATAAAATATATATAGATCCAATTACCAGCCATTTGTCTTTTCTTTTTCTTTTACTCTTAATACTTTAAGTAAATATTGCTGATAATAATACTTACTTATTTTTACATCAAGTAGGATTTTGGGTACAAGACTTTGTTTTTTTGGTATATTTGCAAAGTAAAGGATCTCAGTACTTCTCCCACCACTAGAAATCAGCCACTACACCTGTGTTCTCACCAAAACAGTACTACGAGCATTGGGTATTAGTTTGTAGTGAGACAGCGCTCTCTAGTGACAACCTCTGAAATGACCAGAAATCAAGATGAATCAAAAGTATCCAGCAGATGACGCCAGCAGACTGTTTATTGACTGCGGCAGCCTCTTTATTACCAAGATAACATAGAAAAGCCAGGCACACCTTATACATAATTGTCCATTAACACCTTTTAATGACTTTTGGTGTCATTTCACTTGATCATTTATTTATCTCTGAAAGCAGACTGTTCCACCTCCCTTTCATTTGAATGTCTCTCATCTTGTTTGTAGTATTCACTTCCCTCTCAGTCATACTGGCTACCTAATGGAAACAGACTCAAAACGTTACTCACACTCTGCGTCCAGATTAAACTAGTGTCACGATCAATCATATTACGTTAGGCCGTGGTGATACCTCCCAATGGTGTGTTTGTGCATTTGTGTGTGTATGTGCCTGTATGTACAAAAAGAAGCACATATGAGATGAGGGATTTTGTACAGGGATCCTACTTCTGGTAGATGTAATGATTTACAGTGTTTGCTAGTCACATCTGCAGATTGTCACTCTAATAAGAAATCCCAGATGGAGAAACCTGCTATTAGATAGTGTGAGCAACATGAGTGATATTGTTAGCTGGAGAATATAACATACACATACACCGGCCTGCAGGCACACAAACAAGCAGCAGTTGTCATTATTAAAAATTCAGACAGGAAAATTACAGTATGACCATCTGGGAAAGCTCCCTGTGATTGTTTAAACGCACACACTTTTAAAGCTATACTGTATTTCTGAGGACCCTGATTAATACAATGCATTCCCAAGTCCAGTGAAAGTGGCTGTCATCATATGAACAGATGGGAAATAAGATAAAGACATTTTGTGCTTCACATATTTTCTGATCTTTCTTCTGATTTAAGTAATTTTCTCTTTGTAGGTCTCTAAAAACTTTCAAATAATCAATCTGAGAAGACAAAATCACTTTTTATTTGCAACCTATTGTCAAATGCAACCTTGTAAGTAGACTGTATTTCTATTTAAAGCTGCTGCCAACCCTAACCTTAAACATCACAACAACATACTAACTCTGATCAGCAACTTAACTGAAACTTACTAAACGTAAATCAATTTTTAACCCTGAACTCAATCTTTGTCAGCTAAAATTTCCTAACTTTCCAACTCTGTCCTTGCTCTCATGTTTCAAAAACACTAGTCCTCACAAAGGTAGAGGAACATGAGCACACACACAAAAAAAAGGAGGCAGAATCAAGCCAATAACTCAAAAAAAAGGTCCAAATTGAAAGCATCCAAAGGGCAGGTACTGAACTATAATTGATTTGGACCTGAACCATAACGTGCACAGACTCCCACCACAACACTGCATTATGCTGACCTGCAGTTGTCTGGCACTCATTTGGGAAACAGCCTGTAAAGACAATTTATCATCCCTTCTTCTTAGTTTTGTTTAATCTTACCACACCAAAAGACTCAAAAAAAAAATTTCAAAAACATAAAGTTTTCTCAGAGAGTGGGTTCCCTTTCCAGACCAGGTGCAAACTTTTCCAGTCTGGATGTCAAACAAGAATTACTGATCCAGAGTGCATGATCCATGACAGCACAAGTTCCTCCAGGCTTGTGTATTACGTGTGTGTGTACAGATGCTCTTATGCAACAAGCACTCCAGAAGTGATGTACTGTTCACTGAACGCTGTTTGCTTCTCAGTCTCCATAACCTTGGCATCAGTGACACACCCCTCTCCCCCAGAATGCATTTTCAGCGTGTTACTAAGCGCAGTTCGCCCATGGAAACAGAGACACTTGATTGGAGTGCTCTCTCCCGCTAAAAGCTTTATTCTCTTTCCCTTTATATTTAGAATGTGTAGCGTGGAGAGAAAAATGTACAACCATTATTGGCTGCTGGCTTCAGGTCACACAGTCACAGAGCAGGGCTTCCAATTGTAATTCCATGGCTGGCTAACTGGGCTTCTCTCTCATTAAAGCAGTAAACTGTGGGGGACGCACTACAAAAATAAGTAAACAGGACCTCCTACCCACACACCATTCATAAGATTGTGTGTGTCCATGTGTAGGCTGGGGAATGTGTGTGTGTGTGTGTGTGTGTGTGTGTGTGTGTGTGTGTGTGAGTATTGTTTGTTTGTGTGCGTTTATATCACAGAGGCCACCTACGTCCTTTTAAAACAGCACAGGATAAACTCTGTTATGGCTCAGTAAAACAGCCAGCATGACGTAGGTTTCACTCGATAATTGAACAATCAGGCACTTGATCTCAGGTAGAGGCAACAAATCATGAGGGATGCCGTGGATTTCTGTGCTTCTTGGAGGAGGAAGTGTTGCCGGGTGCATAATGCAGAGGGATTTAAATGGAAGTCAAGTGATGATGTAAATGCATGAGCACAGAAAGCAAATGCCTTGCACCTCACCAATGAGCAGAGGCAGAAGGTAACACAGTGCATTTACTGCAGCCAGTTTTGAGGGAGAGGTAGCTGAGCATGAGGAGACTTTATAATTTTACTGGACCATACTTCGTAAGGAAATAACTCACTTTTACTGCAACATTTATGTGATGGTTGTAATTGCCAGTTTCTGTGTGGAATAAGGTTTTGTATTCAAAATCTGTAACCTCATAAAATATATGATTCATTATTTGAGATTAAACTACCCAGTGGAGTAGGGAGACCACCTACAGTTTAATGCATCAATAATCTAGCTAGCCCACTCAAGGGGATAATTTCTCAAAATGAGGGCTCTCACTTTATTAAAATATCTCAAATTTGTGTGCTTGCTATGGTTTTACCACCACATAAAGAGCCCCTCTTTAACATGCTGTAGCAATTGGTATTAAGGACATAGATCACAGTATGGTAAAAGACTCACAACGCAGCAGCATGTGCACAAATCTCACCCCTGCCTCAATAAATAAATGTTGGTGTACCTAACCTAAGCAAAAATCAGACAACAGGCTTGAGGCCAGATTAGGCTAAAACCTGAGTGTCAGTGCCCTTGAGTGACTTACTCACCCCACAACTGCTACAGTGAAAACGTTTATTGGCCCTAAATTACTGGAGTTGTTGGAGGTTACATGGCAACTGGTCTAAAGAACAAAGTCTAAAAATGCAGTGATCACACAGGGTTTTTATTTTAAAAAAGCACTGATCCACCATATGTGTTATGCCACATACTGCAGGAGATATTGATGATGATGATGATGACTGAGTAGCTTAAGAAGTACACCAGTCCCTTGAATGAAGTTAATGTTTTCTGTAAAGCAGATGGCATCAGCTCTGCTCTCTCAGCTGGACCACCTCAGCGTCAAGCAGTGCCACCCAACAAGCCATTTCTAATATAACTGCGTTGGTTGAGCCGCTCGGGTATACATTTAATGTGTGAGAGAGAGGGGAATCGGAAGAGAGGCGGCTACAGGGACAGAGAAAGTAAAGATCCCATTACGCCCACAGCTCCACAATGACATCACCGGGTCTAAAATGAAGCGCAAGAGGGAGATGGGAGGAACCCCACTTATTAGATTTCGTCGAAGGGTCCTGTTCACAAATGAAGATGCTGCTGCGCCTCTGTGAGGCAGGCTGCGATGTGCGCCGGCGGAGCAGCTGAATCATGGCATCCCGGTGAACTTCTGAGGAGACAAAAGCGCCAAGGACCGAGTAACAACTCATGAAAGGCTCAGACTGAGGCGACTCTGCGGGGATCCTTTCACTACAGAAGAAACAGCGCGTTTTGACTTCATATCTTGCTTCATGCGCACGGCTGGAGAGCTTGAGGTTAACTTTGAGTTTTCTTTTTTTCGATTGACTGGAAACACTGCTATCAGTCAGGCTGTCCTTTGCAGGGAAACATTAGTACATCGTTTCATTAGTAAATCACTGTAAATATTAACTTTATTTCACTTTATCTACGCCGTTCTGTGTTGGCTGCTCAGGTTAGATAGGTTAGGTCCATACGCGCGTCTCCAAAAGAGGACGCGCGGACATCGCTCAAGTGTAGAGATTATTTACTCAAATCCGATCTCTTTATTTTCAACGTGGCCTCACTGTAGACGTAGTCTGTAGACCCCAAATTAGGTGATTTTAACTTAAATCTTCCCTTCTTCAAGATAATAAATAATCCACTGGAGGAAAAAAAGGATCAAACTTCGTGCGCTAAAGAAGTTTTAGTTTTTCCGTTTATTTTGTAACTCTGCAAAGGTTGATGCACAGCTGTCTCAAAAATGTACTATTGTTTTTTTGGGGGGTTTACAAAGGGACACGTCTTTTTGATTGAAACGCACTGATCCGTGTCTTGACGCATTGTCCAGGACTGTTTTGTGTGCTTAAAATGGACTTGGAAGACCTGCCGTGGAGGATGCAAGGGAGCTAACATTTGGAAACAACAAAGAGACGAAACGAGTAAACAACTTAGGTAAATATTATACACATTTTTATAATTTAAAATCACATATATTGTTTAAAATGTAAACTCAGTATGTTATTGTGCATAGAAAACTGAAATAATCCAAGACACAATTATTGAAACCCGTAACAATGAAATACTATATTCTATAATCAAATTTTATTCAGTGACCAAACATTTTTTAATCTATAAAGACTCCTGGAAACCCAATCCCAGCATGGCCTCGGCTCTGGACAGCGGCTGCTCCATGGAGCTGAGTGACTTGAACAGCAGTGTGAGCAGCACCGGAGCCTCAGTCCCCTGCAACCAGAGCATCCTGAAGCTCGCCCCTTACTCCCCAGAAGCCACGGCGGCATTCGCCACCGCCATAACCTTGATGGTCGTCTTCACCATCGTGGGGAACATCATGGTCATCATCGCTGTCCTGACCAGCCGGTCACTCCGAGGTCCGCAGAATCTGTTCTTAGTGTCACTGGCTGCTGCAGACATTTTAGTGGCCACTCTCATCATCCCATTCTCTCTGGCCAATGAACTGCTTGGCTACTGGTACTTTAAGTCTCTGTGGTGTGAGATCTACCTGGCGCTGGATGTGCTGTTCTGCACCTCCTCCATTGTGCACCTGTGCGCCATCTCACTGGACCGCTACCTGTCCATATCCAGGGTTACCTACGGGCGTCAGCGGACTCCCAAACGCATCAAAGCCGCCATTGTGGTGGTGTGGCTCATCTCTGCCATCATCTCCTTCCCTCCCCTGCTTTCCCTGAACAAAAGTGAGGGAGGAGACCAGGCGAGTGAGAGAGGACCTCAGTGCCAGCTGAATAATGAGCGCTGGTACATCCTTTACTCCACCATCGGCTCCTTCTTTGCTCCATGCCTCATCATGATCCTGGTCTATGTAAGAATCTACCAAATTGCCAAGCAGAGAACACGTTGCCCACCAGGAGAGCCCAGGAAGGATGGGGTCGGCTGTGCTACACCAAGTCAGCCTCCACGCCATGTACAAGCCAACGGGAAGGATGATGAAGAAAGTACACCCCCTTCATCGAACAAAACCTCCAATGCCAGACCCCCCACCCTCGCCATCACCCCTTCTCCTTCCCCAGGAGAGTCTCAAACCTCCCAGAATCCCACCTCCAATAATCTCCTGCAACCTCCATCCCCTTCTCCAGCCATGACCCCTGTCTCTGCCTCCCTTGATACCTCTCCTCATGGCCCCTCAGCCCCCTCCTCCGTGCCTCAGTGTGCCCCTGCCAAGACTAAAAAGGAGGGGAAGAAGGGCAAGCGGCAGGGAGGGAAAAAAGCCGACAATAACAATGGCGACAGCTCAAGCACAGACAGCGATATGGAGCACAGCCATGGAGGAGGCAGAGGCAGCACTAGCATGCCAGGGTCACCTGCAGGAGGGGGGGTCCACTCCCCGGCCTCAGTCAAGCGCTACCGGGACATGATCGCCACTTCAAAGGGGGCTCGGCTGGTGCCAGGGAGGAAGTCAAAAACAGAGAACAACCCTGGAGCAGCTAGGCGTAAAGCGATGGTCAACAGAGAGAAGCGTTTCACCTTTGTTCTGGCGGTGGTCATCGGTGTCTTTGTGGTGTGCTGGTTCCCTTTCTTCTTCTCCTACTCTCTGCAGGCAGTGTGCCCAGAGACGTGTGCCATCCCTGATCCGCTCTTTACGTTTTTCTTCTGGATCGGTTACTGCAACTCCTCACTTAACCCAGTCATATACACCATCTTCAACAAAGACTTCAGGAAGGCCTTCAAAAAGATACTGTGCAGAAGCACCAAGGGCACTTTCTTTTAGCACACAAATCAGATGTACAGGACATGGACACAAATAATTGCTATTTCTGAGGCATAGAATAATCATTTCCATCCTCAGAACACTCAAAGGGCTGTTTTAATACATGTTGAACTGTGGAAATTCAAGCATAAAAATCAGAACACTCTTTTACAGCCACAGTGTGCGCAAACAGGCAACCTGGACTGTGAAATTCCACTTTGCAGCTGATACACACATAAATCTTTGCAGGGTGCGGGGTGAAATAGGACATGGAATAGAAACAGTGCTAGACACTAAACGGCTTAGCACGTCAGTATTGCTGATAAGATTTTGAATGCAAAGTTTTTATCTTGAGATCGCATCGAATAACGGATAATGCTGGGACACAGAGTGGTGCAGAATCATGTACACACACTCTGTAAGAGACCACAGAAGGTGGTGAAGAAAACAGGAAAATAGCTAAGAAATAATTACTGAACGAGAAGAAAGACTGTTTAATGTATAATATATAAGCTTTGTAGTTATTAAGGACTCCAGGACTAATGGGGAAAGAAAACAGGTTAAAAAAAAGAAGGAAAAGTGGCCTTAGATTCCTGGGAGCCTAGGGCCCTTTGTTTATCAATACAGAGCACAAGGAGCACACAAGGTTAGTGGTGATTTCTTACGTCTGCAGTCTTAATTTGCACAGCTACAGGGCAAACATGTGTTCCTCGATTTTTATCAAAAGCGCAACAACAAGAGAGGGTTTCTGACAATCTCAAATGTGATAGCACAGACAAGGGCACCCTTTCAAACTGAACTCGTGGACTTTTATGTGGAAAGCCTTCATGTCAGACACCTCGCTCTTGGCTCAGTATGGGTCTTAATGGACACTCAGGTTGTTTGTAATGACACTCTTGGCTTTCACCTTTCATGAAATACAGAATAAGCTGCAGTGTGGTGGATTGTGGACTTGAATGAAAAGCACACATATGTTATTGAGATGTAAAAGAAAGACAGCATCATTCTCTCAACTTAACTTTCATGCTTTTTAACTTAACCTGGGACTATCACAATAATGGACCGGACTGAGCAAACCCTCTAATGTACTCAGTGTTTGGACTATCAAGTAACCATCAAAACTGTTTATAACTTTTGGAAAGTGCTTCAGAGGTCATTAACAGTATCTAACGGGAGGTGCATCTGCTGAAGACTGAAAAAAAACCTAGATTCTAATACCATTTACCATGTGAACATTATTTTCCAGATACCCTGCTTCACGACAGGCAGATGTATTTAGCAGGTAGACATCTACATTGACTGAAAAGGACACATGAACAATGCAATTATGGATGTGTAATGTTACCCCTAATTACGCCTACATGGGTTATTCTGGCAACCCTTTGGCTGAGTCACTCTTTACCAACGCCTCTGGCACATCATCGCCTGCAGTGGACCTCTACATGACACATTTGGTTTGTTGCTAAGTGGCGAGAGGATGAATGGTACATTTATTTTTCTCACCAAGAGGCTGAGGCTCTGTCAGTTTTCTTGACAAAAAAAGAAAAAAAAGAAAAGAAAATGTGTCTGTAACAGGACACAGGCTTATTGACTCCATGGGACAAGGGCTGTCGGCAGCAACACTTCAATTTACTAATTGTCTAATTCTGCTGACCTGTGTGAATGTGTGCGTATGTGCGTGTGAGTGTTGACTTTAATGTTTTTCTGTAGAAAGTGTCAGTGCCTCCTCTGGCTGCTATGTGCTACAGATTTACTGTAATATTGAGAAGAATCCTGGTATAAGCATCATTTTGCTGTCTGTCATGTGAATGTTTCTACTTGATGGGAAGTAATATATCGCTATGTTGAGAGAGTCTTATCTGAACTGAAAGTCAGTGTTTTTATCAGTGATATTGAGTACATGGCTTTTTAGTGATCACCCTCAAGGGACCAAAGAGCCTTACAGGACACCAGCCTGACTCAGTGATATGTGGCTCTGTGTTGCTTTAACAAAGTATTACGGTTGAAGATTGCAAACACTGTATTATTTATTTCAAACTATTTGTGTTTTCTGTCTGTTATATTTATTGTTCAGTTATTGTGCTTTTATTCTGAAAGTCAAGCAAAGTGGAACTGAACAAAGAGTGAGAACACTGTACAGATTTTTAATATCGAATAAGAGCAAAATTGGTTCATATCATTGAGCTCTTGCTATGTGAGACTGAGCTATGTTTGAGGTTGGGGGGTGTATTTGTGTTGAATGAACATGAACTTTGAGTTATGTGCATAATGCAGAACCTACAATGCAACATTTGTCATCATTTCTTCATCTAGTTATAGTATGGTAAAATGTTCAATCAGAGATACAAGCACATTAATGGATGTACAATTTATTAAGCATACCGCAGCAGGAGAATCTCGTCACCAGTGCTACTGTCAAACTTTTCCTGAAACAGTAATCGAACATGAAAATGTCAATAGCACCCAAAGCCAGTTTCAGTTGGACGATTTGCAGGACATTAAGATTACAATCCATACCACACACAGCCACTTGGAGATTCAGATAACACAATAAAAAGAAAATGGTTGAGAGTAAGAGCTCTGTGCACTTGTGCAACTGCTCCCTGTCCACATCTGAAATGGTTATTTTCTCTCCAGAAATACAAACAGCAATAGCAAAGCAATTATAACAAAAATAGCCACAGAGGTCATGGATTCATGGCTGTTTCCAATAAATATGAGTTGTAATGCTGCTCAAACCCCACCAACCATGGCTTTATGTGGTGAGACTGCTGCTTAGTTTATTTTAAAAAGTTTAAATAATGGCTTAAAGGTGACAGATGTAGTGATCTGCCTCTTGATCACCATCCTTTCCCCTGAAACCGCCTGTATTGTCTCTTCTCCTACTGTGTTTGGACCAAACTTCTTGGTCTGAGCTTTACAGTCTTCTATCTCCCATCTGTCATCATCCCTCTCCATTTTCGGAAATAAAGCTACTTGAAAAAGCATGAGTCATTCACCCAGTTTGTTTATTTCATACATTTTCACATGCCACAACAACATAGGGATGAGGCAAAATAAAAAAAAAAAAAGTTCCAGGAGGAGAATTGCCAATAGAATGTTTCACAAATATGAGAGTTTTAATAGAATGAGGTTTTTCTCGCATACATGTTAAAGTGCTTTCTAAAGCAATTTCCAGTCATCATGAAATAGCCCTGAATGGCAACACAACTTCAGGAAATAGTCCATAACATTGTGAGCTGATGGCAGTTCAAGATGTCATTGGAAAATCTCCTATCACAGTGGGACGTGAGAAGTAGGCTGCAGCAGAAGCAGCATAATGTTGCCTACTGCCAACAAACACAGAGGATGTCTATAAGGGATTAGAGCATGCTGCCAAATATCACATATGCACACACACACACAGTGTATGTGTCATCCTGCACCAAGTGTCACATACTGTATTCAAGTCATGAAACACGCTCAATCCACACAGATGCAGTCTCACACACACACACATTTGTTGTGACAGCTTGTTATATTTGAGGTCAGCAGGCCTACGGTGAATTGTAATTGATTTATGCTGATGGGCAGTTTGGGGATTTCTCAGCACCGAATCAAGCCTCTCTGGCCTGTTTTTCCCTCACACACATTCGCACTCAAAGAACATACACCATCGAAGTGACTCCACATGTTTACATCCTGGCTGTTTCATTTCCATATTCATGGTTGAGCTGTGATTTGAGGTACACGATGAGGTGAACAGATAGCTTATTGCAGCCAAAGCGTAGGGAGCCATGAGGTCTATGTTTACAGCCTTGTACATTCATACAGACACAGTGTCCCTAAGCTCCTTATTCTCTAGCCTCAGCTGGAATATAAAGCAGGCCTGATCGGTGGCAGTGGACCCTACAGAGAGAGGATGGAGAGAGTCCGACTAACATGAAACACAACACACTCATTAGCTTGTTATTCACACAAGATAGTAGCCTCAAGGAGAGAAAGAATGCACACACATGCTCCTATACAAGAAGGGGGCTGCCCAGAAAACACACACAAACACTGGCAGACACATGTGAATTTCCCTCACACACACATTAACTTTCATTTTCAAATTTGTGATGGATGTAGCATTCCACCGGATGAATATGTATGTGTTTAGAGGGCGTTCTAGCGCTGAGCATTTTCCATTTCCAATCTGCTGCACGTTATAACGCTGGATAGATTTCTTCACTCTGTAATTTGGCTGTTGAAAACACCCAAGAGGCTGGATAAAAAATGGGAGACAGAACACACACACTCTCTCTCTCCCTGTTGAAGGTGGAGGCACTCAAATGTTCTTTTGCTTTGTGAAATCTGTGATAAAAACGTCATTTTTAGGGGGCACAAGCAATTATGATTAGAATCACTTTAGGAGTCTGCGGCTGTTTAACAGAGTGGTACTCAATACAGTGTGTGTGTGTGTGTGTGTGTGTGTGTGTGTGTGTGTGTGTGTGTGTGCATGTGTGCTCTTGCACTTCTATCTTTGGGAGGACCAAACTGAGCTTAAGTTAGACCTTGACAATGAGAACATTTTTGGAAAATGAGGACATTTCCTTCAAAGACTTGGTTAAGACTTGGAGTTAGATGTGTAGTTGTTTACTGTTTATTTAGCTCCCCGTATCCTTGGCAACAACTGCTCTTACAGGGGTAAAAACAATACACAATTAGCAAGTTTACACATGCACAATAATACATACTGAACCTTCCTGACCACATCTTAGCAAGTGAATTCTCACTATGCTCTATCGGCCCATGTAGATATTTCTTGTTACATTGTTATGAGTGTATTAATCACCAATTAATTTACATTAAACATCTAAACGAATAGCATATGGCAGACTATTCCAGTGAGATATGTCACAATAAATGATTATTATTTATTCCATTCAGCTCACATTATATCAATGAGAGTCCTCACAAGTACACACGTGTGGTTGTGTGATGCCTGAGTTTGTATAAACCAGATGCAGCTATACAACAAAAGTTCACTAATTGACACACAAAAGATGTTTCAAAATAAAAGGCATGCATATTTCTGGCTGGAAGTGAAAAATATTCTAGCGTGGCCTCATCATTGAATTAGGAATGAGTCTCATTTGTGCTTTCCCTGTGGACACAATTACTTTCATGTTTTTCATGGATATAAACTCTGACGCATTATTGTGCCTTCTGGTGTTGGTAAAGAAAATAATCGAGAGGCAAAATTGTCACATTATTATCATGGTGGGCATCAGGCTCTGCTGTAATAACTCTATTAGTGCTATATTTCTCCGAAAAATCGAAAGCCTCTGCAGAACTCCAGTGGGAATCCAAATCTGAACTGAATCATCTGATTGAAAAGTACAGACGTAGCATATGAAACGGACATAAAATTCAACTCTAATATCTTCGGATTAACACACAATAAAAGAGAAAAAGACTTGTCCAGTTGTGTGAGACTTCCAGGCAAGGTTGCCAAATATGAAGAGGGGAGAAAGACGGCTGTGCCTTTATTTAGCCGGGCCATCATGGAAAGGTCACAAAGTTCATTTTGACGCACAGACATGCACGTACATACCCTCACACATACAGTATCAGAGTACACACACACACAGAAACACACACACACACCAGGTCCGAGCGCACACAAAGAGAAACAAACTCAAGCCTAAAATAGAGAAACAGATGACTAACACTCAACTGCACAAACAGATACACACTTATGAATGTTAACACACACAGATATGCTGTCACGTGGGCACACACACACACACACACACACAAACACACCATCACAGACAGCAACAAAACAAAAATAATAGACTAAAGAGGATTTTTACTGATCCTTATTGATTTTTTTGACACAGCCTGTCATTATTAACTCAAGCATTAGTAATGCTCTACTGTATAATTCATTTATTGATCCACAGTAATCAGCACAACATCAATCTTGTTTCAAACTTTTTACTAAAATCCTGAGTGGACTGTGTGAGTGTGTGAGTGTCTGTGTGGCTGATTAAAAGAGCAAGAGAACAAAAAAGATTATGAGAACGTAATGGGAAGGATGTTTGTTGACATACAGTATGAGTTTCCGTGTGTGTTTGTGTGTGTGTGTGTGTGTGTGTGTGTGTGTGTGTGTGTGTGTGTGTGTGTGTGTGTGTGTGTGTGTGTGTGACATTTGGCACAGAAAGGAAAACAGGATGTGCAGTTTAGATGTGAAAGTGTTGTGTCCTTTTTGAGCTATACCGTAGTACAGTAGGCTAACTGACTCAACACTTTGCGGACAGTTTCCATTACAAACGTATCTTCTGTAAATCACCATAAGACAAATTTAAGTCAATAATAGTGCAGGCTCCAGCACCTGCACCACATTGGATCAATTTTTGTTAAATTTTTGCTGAGGTCTGCATTATGGGAGTCCTTCCAGGTGCATGAAGTACCATTTTGGTCCAATGAAACTCTGAAAGTCTTGTTCGATTTACCTGTAAATGTAGTTTTAAAATCTCTTTTCTTGGATGCCAATGTTTTATTCAGAAAAAGCACTTAGATGAAAACCACTGCATAAGCATGTTTTTTTATGAAGTGCACAATTAGAACCACAAAAGGGAACTTTGTCCAACAAAGTTTGTGTGCAAGTACAGAATAGAGCTTACCTTGGTTCAGACATGGTTCCTCTGTTTGATTACATTATATATTTGGTATTGGTATTTGGAATACCATTTATTATCATGAGAAAAAAAAGTGCTATTTTAAAGGGACAGTTCAACACTTTGGGAAATGTGCTTATTTACTTTCTTGCCAGGAGTTAGATGAGGAGATCAGTATCTGTCTGTTACAGTTAGCAGCTGGTTAGCTTAGCATAGAGAGTGAAATGAGGGGGAAACAGCTAGCCTGGCTCACCTACCAGCACCTTTAAAGCTCACTCATTACTACTTATTATTTTTTTATTATTGTTATATCTTGTTCGCTTAGTTTGTACAAAAACTGAAGAATAATAATTGCATGTTGTTTTACGGAGGGTTATGTGCTCTTGGCCAAACATTCTACTCTATCTGCATGGGATTGAACAAAATAAATATATATATTGTATCTATGTATGTACATTATATATAAATATATAATGTGTTAATTTCTGCACTTTAGAGTTACTAATAGGCAGATTCTCGTACCTTTGGACAGAGCCAAGCTGGCTGTTTTAAGTCTTTATGCTAGGCTAAGCTAAAAAAAAACCAAAAAGCTTTAACAGATAATGTATGCTAATAACAATGGCGTGAATTATTTGCCCTTTCACAGAAGCCCAACATAACCCAAAAAGAATTCCCTCAAGATAAATCTGTTAATAATAATATAGTGCAGTTTTAAAAACAAGCTTTTACACAGTAACTGTCTGATTGTGGGTTTCTGCTCACACTATTACATAAGAAAAAATTTAACCATAACGGTGATGACCTTAGTTTCCTGGCATCATCCCACAGTTTCGCCCCTCTGCTTTGAAGCCCTAACAGTGACTGATTTCAGTGGTTGGCCTCTTATCATTAGTGTGGATGAAGGGCTCCATGTGACTAACAGGAGGACAACATCCAGCATAGCAAAGAGAAAGAGGCATTTATTTCTTATCACAGTCTCAACACTCAATCCTTGTTTAGGTTTTTGTCAAGAATCTCTTAGGGTTTCAAAGCTTTTCACAGGATTTTTTTTTAATATCAATATGTTTTTTAGTCCACTTTGAAAAACAAGAATGAGGCGAGCAGACAAAGACAGTACTACAGACACTGAACATAGGTTCTCTTTTACTGCATTTTTGGTGAGAAAGGTCTCAGATGTCATCTTCTCTACTCATAAAGCACTCAGCCAACACATACATTCATCTATTTCTGTGTGGGTACTATTATGCTTACAGCTCTGAATATTATGTCATTACATTTTCGATTATTCCACATTGCCTGAAAAAGGTTATGACACGGAGGGAAGATGAACTAGCTCCATT